GTCACTTCTGACTAATAAGAAACTTATGAACTTGTTGCAGGGTCCTTGGCTAAGACGAATGATGATGACCATGATCGATTCATTACTCTCTGTCGCTACTGACTAACAAAAAAACTCATTAACATGTTCTAGCGTTGTTGGTAAAGACTAAATTAATATCCAGTACTCTTGGCTAAGACTTTTGACTAATGATGACAATGATCGATCATTATACACATGTCGTAACTGACTAATTAAAAAACCTATCAAGCTGTTCTAAGGAAGAGGATTGCGATGATGACAACGATCGATCATGATACGATGTTGTAGCTGCCTAATAATAAATCGATTAACTTGGTCTAATGAAGATGATTACTACGATGGCAGCGATAGATCATGATACCTATATCACAACGGACTAATAGAAAACTATCAACATGTTCTAGTGCTCTTGGTTGATTTAACCTTTAAAGATGACGATGTTGACAACGATAGATCATTGGATGGACTCATCATGCTCTTAGTTAAGACTAATAAAGATGATTGCGACGACGACAACGATCGAACATTATTCATATATCGTAACAGACTAATGAGACATGGATTAACAGTCCCAGTGCTCTTGGTTAAGACTAATAATGAAGATGATTTCCACGATGGCAGTAATACGAGAGATCATAATTTCTATACATATGTCACAAGGGACGAATCAAGAAATGCACAAACATGTTTTAGCGCTTTTCGTAAAGACTGATGATGATAATCACTATCCTCATCCTATTTCATTGTCAGAACGGACAAACCAGGATCGAATTTGGTCTTGGTTGTTATTTTCTATGCTAATAAAATGACTCATCACTGTTATTATAGTTTTGTAGCGAAATAAGTGACTTACGAATGAGAATCCATGGTCGTTTTGGCCAAATGTTGTTGTTTCCTTCAACGGAATCCGTTATCTAAAGTAGTCAAGGATATTCAATTACAATTCTACCAATATTACAATCTATGACTGTCCATCTCGAAATAATGTAAGCGTCCAATCATTCTTGCCATTGCTTAACCGTTCACTGTTAACGATAGCAGCATACAGAAGTAGATGAAGTGATAAACGTAGATTTACTTCTAGTTCACTGTTGTACAACGTAAATAACATATTGTGTTCATGGGCCGATAACAAATAAATTGCTACATGAATAGAAAATAAGAATAAATAATTATACAAATTCAGCCTGGGTAATATAAACTGTAACAGAACTGCTTGAAAATGCCCAATTTGATTGTGTTGCTGGAGTTGAAATGGTCGTATAAATGCGGACTACATGATCATATCGACATTAAAAAGAGTGCCGATGGAATGACAAATTGAAAAATTCTTGAATACGGTAGATGCCGAATGTACTAAACTAGCGTTAATGTATTATCGTCACCTTTCTGTTATGAATAAAAACTGGATTAATGGCTCTAGACTGACAGTCCAATTTTCAGTTTACCTGTTATCAATACTGTCGGATTGGCAAGGTAATATTAGATCGTTTCTTCAGACTGACAAGTTTAATCAACGAAAGGAAATGAAAAGTCCAATGAATCCTTTTTTCCCTCTATTGGAAATGCTAGGAATGGACTATGCTCTACGTGACTTGGAGCCGAGTGATCAACACCATCGACTACTCTAATCAACACTAGACTACTTCTGCTAACTAAAAAATAATAATTGTACAAAATTCAATAGGGTGTCTACTGTACTCCTATAATAGCGTCGAAAAATGACTTGTAGATTTATATGATTTTATTCACTAGTCCCGGTCGATTGATTTGTGATCAAAAGTGTACTACTAATCCTGCCTTCCATTAACGCTGACTAAAGAGAGCGACATTAGACAGAAAGGAGATGGTCAAGAAAAGGTGCCAATCTATCGCTTGATATGCTTTACAGTATACGATCTATGAGAAAGTACTGAGTTGAAGGCTATTCCTTTTCTACAATCATCATCAATCATGTCGTATCAATATTGAAAACATCATCCAATAATATCCGTCATGGACATTTCTTCTTACAAACTTTTACATCAAAATAAACGAAAATCAATACAATCAACAGTAACGACTTACATCACGATTCTATTCTAGACGTTTGACGGATGAGAAAGAATGGCAACTGTTTCAATAAGAGTCCATCTAACATGGGTGGAATGGATACCATAACATGATTCTTTCAACTTGACTGGATTACCTTAACCTTAACGTATGCTTTTGGATTAGATTGATGCTTGCACAGAGAATGGAAGCAATCTCCTCTCAAATATAGAATCGTGCAAAATTGTCGAATGCAACGCCCCAGTATCGCCACTATAGTCCTGTTAAAGTCATTTGCATCAAGAGAATAGATGTCAAATTAATGAGAACAATTAAAAATTTTAAATCATGGTAGCCTAGGCTAACGATGGGAGGGTGTTTACCATTGCAAATGGATCATTATAATAGGCACAGAAAGGAAGAAGCTAATATTATGATCTAATGCAACTGTACGGTAGCCAGTAGTAGGCGCAGTATGCATGTTACCATGGACAACTACTGTTGAAATTAGACTAGCTATCATTTCTTGTAGTCCATGATGTTGCTTAAAAGTCTATCTACACTTAAAAATATCATCGGTGTTAAAGGCAGTATGCAAAGGCAACTGTCATTTCCTAGGGATCTTAACGCAATACATGACTCGTTTCGATGTAGATACCCTGTAGATAGTCCTTCATAATTGCAATTATATACAGTAATAGACTGCTTTACAGTATATAATAAAGTGAGGTTTGACGAGAAATTAGTGGCCTTATCATTTTGTTTTAGAGATAGTTTATCACAATTCTATATTAATTGCGCCTATTGCAAACCAAGTTTTTCAAGCTTATGAATCATATCTGTTAAAATTCTGACTTTTTGTTTTAGAGACACTTTCTTGACAGGTCTACACTAGGTGCGCCTACTGCACACCAAGTTTTCGAGCTTATGAACCGCGTCTCACGGGATTTTAATTTCTTGTTTTAGAGGTACTTTTATTATAGGTCTATACTATCTGCACCTACTGCTCATCAAGTTTCCGAGCTTATGAATCGTGTCTCTAGAAATTTGTATTTCTTGTTTTAGAAGTACTTTACTGCAGGTCTATACAAAGTACGCCTACTGCACACTAAATTTCCGAGCTTATGAATCGTGTCTCTTGAAATTTGAATTTCTAGTTTTAGAGGTACTTTATTGCAGGTCTACAGTATACTAAGTACACCTACTGTACACTAGATTTCCGAGCTTATGAATCGTGTCTCTTGAAATTTGAATTTCTTGTTTTAGAGGTACTTTATAGCAGGTCTATACAAAGTACACCTACTATACACTAGATTTCCGAGCTTATGAATCGTATCTCTTGAAAGTTGAATTTCTTGCTTCGGAGGCACTTTATTACAGGTCTACACTAAGTGCACCCTCTGCACACCAAGTTTTCGAGCCTATGAATCACGTCTCTTAAAATTTAAATTTCTTGTTTGGAGTTACTTTATCACAGACCAATACTGAGTGCAGCTGCTGCACACTAAGCTTGCCAGGTTATGAATCGTGTCTCCTGAAATATCAATTTTTTATTTGGGAAGCACTCTACCACAGGCCTATATTACTTGCAAAGTGTATTTATTACTGCTCACTTAAGTTTCCGAGCTTATAAATTATGCCCCTGATGGCTGTTAAGAAAGAAAGTGAACAAGGTGCCACTAATTTTGCACAGTGCTTTTCAAGAACTCTTACAACTCCTTTCCAACTTGGTGGTAATCTAATTATAATTATCACTGAGATCCAGCTAAGATTGCTTGAATACTAACTTTAGAGTGCAGTAAAGATATCTTTTAGCAGCACTTCTAAACTGGGCATGATTTTCGGTTCTCACCCTTGCTCAGCTACCACCGATGGACTGCATCGAAAATTCGATGGATAATGTGGATAGCTACGTATTATGATAGTCGGTTGGGTCGAAAATAGGCAGTAATATGCGAGCGCAATGTATCATAACTATCGATGAGCAACATTGGCTGCAACGCATCTTAACACTTACTGTACTGTACAGTACTGCACTTTGGAATTTGGAATGAGTCCATGCGTTAAATGAAAGAGTAATTTTGGGGCTAGGTTAGGCCGTATGAAATTATGAAAAACAATTTGTGGTGATGACTAATGAGTAAAAGTATGCAGTCGCTTTGTATTTGTTATGCTTGGGCACAACTTTGACTCTACTACTGTCAATATATACTGTATATGTTATACAGTATACAATTATAATAATTATTATTAGTACCAATGTCTAACTCGTAGCTGTATGCCGAATGGACATCTTGTAGACGTTATACCATACTATAAATCGACAGAATGCCATGATCAGCAATGCTCTTCGGTAGAGCTGCATCTGCCTATAGCGTTCGTTACATTTTGATTGTAGATTAATTTCTAGGGAAATAGTACAATTAATTGTATCCTGACTAGTATCCATGAATAGCATGCAGTATAGAGCTTTTCATGACGTTCATTGACCAATGTATTCATTTGTCTCCACTTAATTGGACTGTACTATGAATTCATGATGAATAAAATGCTACAAACATGCACCATGCGCATGGATCAGTCAAAGCAGTCGACGAAGAGACCCTATCCTATTTGCCTTTTTCTTGATCGAATTGAACTCCACTAGCCTTCTAGCATTGCTATTTCCCTGTAAAATGATGCTTTTGTGTTTTCAATACAGCAAATAAAAGTATCCAACCCATCGCTGCTCGCCGTGTGTTTGTAGAAAATGATGCAAGTGTATCAGTCAACCCTTGGATTAGAACTGCATGGGCAGTCCATACTTTGAAACAAATGAAGAACCCTTTCAAACCAAATGATGCAAAAGTTTGCCCTGCAAACTGACTCCAGTGCCATCGGGTGTGTTTACTGAAGTAAAGCAGTAAAGCACATCAAGAACTGGATTCCGAGTCCTGGATGACAGCGAAATGGCCAGCAAGGACTGGAAAGCGAAGATGGAAAGTTTCATCGAAGCAGGAAGCGATGACGTAATAGGTTCTGCCATCGAAAGGTCACGTGATTTTCAAGTGCATTCATGCACCCGTAGGCAGTACTGTGCACTGTACACTGTATAGTGCAGTACTGTAGACTGTAGTGGCTAGAGTATGGGCGGGTCCACCTTACGGCACGATGCTCGGACAGACGTCCGTAGGCAAGTGATCGGGCATGAGTAAGGACTAGTCAAATACATAGTGGATATCGACCTGTTTGGTACAGTAGACTCTTACAGGAGCGTCTGTAAAAAGAAGCGAAAATTAGAATGGTCGGTTTGGTCGACACCACGAAGGCATCCATGCAAGTGCATACAAAGCCACTTTATGGGTATTACTATAATACCAAGTACTGGTACTGTACTAGTGTACCAGTACACCTACGATCGACGTACGCCCAGTACCATACAGTAGACTACTGTCAATCAGGTCAAAGCTAACGTCAGCAGTAGTAGGTTGACACCACGGTACGATCGGACTCCTGTAGACACGCGCATACTGTACTTGAGTAGGGCAGCGAATCAACGAGATTGGCGATTGATCTCATTTCGATGATGTTTATTGGAAGCGATTGAAGATTTGCCTGAAGAAAAACATGCTGAGATGACTACTCAATCCTCTAATCCAGCAAATAGGAATGCCTCATCTAAGATTCTATCACCAGAAGAGAATAAGATTATATTTAACTTATTGGCTGCCAAGAAATGCTCGGTAATGATCAGCATAGATGATGGCATCGATTGATTCAACGCAAACACAGACCTACTAGTTGTCGCTGTAGAATGCAACTGGGGCAAAGGGTGGAAAAGATCCCATCAAAGTTGTAATGATGATAGTCAAAATAGTTCAAAATGTCAAGTTAGCGATCCCATACAATTGGCTTGTCGATTAGATTGATGTGTCCATGGATAGAGTTGTTCATTTTAAGGTTAAATAGTTCCAGTACAACGGATAGACAGTGTTCATGTTGTCCTTTCGAACTTGTAGCCGCCAGTCTATAGTCTGTATTGTTGGTACGTGTGTGTGCGACATTTCCTTTCTACCATAGACAGTACTCTACCACAACAGTAGAAAATGGAGGCGTAGACTACTAGCCTCTTTAACCAATTTTCATCATCAGTAGATCAACCATAGTAGTTCAAAATCGTTCTCATTTCCAATTTCTTTATGCATTACAACATTAGTAAAGGAATTACAAGTCTGGATGTCATCTTACAACACTACGATCGTCTGTTTTTCTTACCATGGATAAACTCCAATCGACAGTTGATGCATGAGCATGATTTACTATAGCTAGCGATGCTAATCCATCCTCCTATCAGGGGGACTCAATGGTCTTGATTGCTGCCATGGATGCTATTTCTTTACTTTTTCAATCGCATCCAACATTGAATAGTCAGATGGATAGTTTGATATGGTAGTACAATGGACATCACATTAGACTGTATACTTGTATTGCTTTCTTGCTTGAAAATCAAACATGATCCAAAGGAAATAGCTCAATTTAATGTCAATGCAGGGCAGCGACCAGAAGAATCAAGTATTCGATAATAACATTATTTTTTTTTATTTATTATTCTAGACATTAGCCACTACCGTCGTTCAAGTTCAACTGGCTCACTCAAATTCACACGCATGGATTAAAAAATGCACTGGCGTGCTTTGCTTTGTAAAGGATAGTGCATTGCGATCTTATTTTCTGCGTGTCTTCAACGTTAAAGTAAGCGTACCACTTTAAAATAGCCATCGTGTCTTATCACAATATTGTCTATTTCTATACCATGATGATAGAGTAATTACCATCGAAAATTGCGGAGAGGGGTGGGGGGGGGGGATGAAATTGCAAAAATAGAAATTAGACAGCAACAGGATTACCTATCAAGTTCATTTCCCTAAAGATAATGATAGCTAATGATTGGCAATTATTTTTAATACATCCTTTACTCAGTTTTCTGCCTGTATCAACACTATACACAGGGCTATTTCATTTGCTTACGTTCTTATTACGTTATTGCCATCATGTTATAATATGTGTAGAGTGGATAAATAGCTCTTATAAATCACTATAACTCATTAACGTGTTGAAAATTACCTTCAAGGATAAAGCTCTACTCTGGGAGCAAGAACTCTACTATAATTTCGAATACAAGAAAACAAAGAATTACTTTCACACATTTCAAGCTCATGTAAGACTTAGCAAATTTGTTCTTGCTTGTTTATACAAAACTCAATCTGGCTTGAGATTACTAGCAAAATGCCAACAAGATTCATTCTAATAAATTATTATTCATCTGTGTTATCGAATATGATTGTCACTGAAATATTCTATCTTGTAGGATTGCGTGGCAGGATTTAATTTTGCTGATGTGAATGAAGCTACACAATTCTATAATATCTTAACTGAAAAGTTAAGATCTAGAAAAGAGAAAAAAGAAAGTGAGTGAAAATAATACACAAAGTTAACGTCATAATTTATTAGTAATATTGTATATAGTACAATAGAAAGAATAGTCGAAGGAGTCTACCATAACAACTAAACATGCCATATATTGAGATAGTTACTGGAAACGAATTCAGATAATACATTCTATAATGATGGAGTCAATAATTTTATACTGCCGTATACTGAATTAGTTAGCCAGGTGTTGTGAATCATTTGAAAAGCAACATGCGTTTTTAAAATGTGTAAAAACATATTATTTAATTTAATCACCAATACTAAAGTCAAGCAACAACAGCAAAAACGACAGCAACAACAACAGAATAGTCAGAAATCAAGTAAGAATGCCGTCATCACCAACGAGAACTCGAGCAAGTCAGCAAAGGAAAAGCCTACAAAGAAAAAAGATAAAGGCCCAAGAAGAATTTCAAAATTAGATATATCAGGACCAACAGATTTTAGGTTAGTACCCTATTTTGCGATACTACTGTTGCAGTACTAGACATTATTTCAATTTGTAACAGTTTACTGTATTCGATTATTTATCATAAATGATAATATTGCACTACGTATGGGCTTACATAGGCACGTAGAACATCTTGGATGGGACAAAGATACAGGATCTTTTGTAAGTTGTAGTATCCAAATGAAATGATTTGCTTCTTGAATGGAATAATGATATAATGTAAAACAATCACTAATGAAGTAAACTGTCTTATCAATCTTACAGATTAGCAAAGTAACAGACGAATGGAAAGATTTATTTTCTACCATTGGCCTAACTGGTGCACAACTCAATGACGCAGCAACACTCAAGGTTGTACAAACTGTTGTTGAAGCACATGGTGGTCTCGAACAAGCAACACGAGAATTAAAATCACAAATACAAGGCCAACGCGGTAAAATAATTTGCTTAAAATACCCTAATCGTCCATATACTGTGGATAATGTTGTATTTGAATGTCCTATTTCCTCTATAGCACAACCTCCTAGTATACCTCCTAGCGTACCTTCTAGTGGACCTCCTAGTGCACCATCAAAGAAACCACCTCAGCCTGTTCCATCACGTCCTTCTCGTCCACCTCCACGTCCTATATCAGTATCGCGACCACCACCGCCAATCCCAACGACTACTCCACCAGGCCATTATCCTTCACGCCCAGCACCAACTAAAGAGCCTCCTCCACTTCCTCCATCTCACCCTAAACGTCCATCCATTCCTTCTCCTCAATCTGGACCGTCACCTGTTGCAAAACCTCTAAAGTCACCATTTACAGTTCCTCCGCCACCTCCGGTATCTGTTCAACCTGCAACTGCTCCATCATTTTCACCCCCTCCAATACATCCAGTTGCTCCATCAGTTGCTCCATCAGCTCCTATTCCTCCACCAGCTCCTATTCCTCCATCAGCTTCTATTCCTCCACCGCCTCCGCCACCTCCTCCTGGTCCATTAGTAGATTCTACTCCTTCATCGACACAAAATAGACTACCTGCGGCCACTCCAGCTGTAAAACCTGGTCCGGGCTCGTTCCTCGATCAAATCCAATCCGGAGTCAATCTTAGAAAAACCGAACCAGCTGATAAAGCTGACGTAAGACCATCGTCTTCGCGTATATCAAATAACTTACTGGACAGTATACGCAGTGGAATAACTTTGAAGAAAGTACGTAACTGTTTATCTTTCATTTTGTATGAATACACACTATATGATCGTTTACTGCTAGCATCATTAAGATAATGATGATATGGTTAATAGGTCGATATGGATCAGAAAGATCCCCTTCCTCCGGTCAAAGAAACCGGTATCCTAGGAGCCCTGCAAATAGAATTAGCAAAGATAAACGATCGAGTAACAGGTAGAAAATGGCTTAGCATAGTCAACTTCAGTGTCGTAAAATTACTTTTATGACAACATTTCAAATGTAAGATGTAACGCGTTGCTATTTAATTTATTTTTTAGCAACCGATTCGGAAGATTCTGATACTAATTCCGATGATTGGGATTAATAAATAACATATAACTGACAATGGAATTGTATGTAGTCGGTATTCTATGTTAGCAAATGAAACTAATTATAATTAAATATCAACATAATCTTTTTCTGGATTAATTTTCATACTGTGCATGATGTAGAGTTTGAATTTATGGAGGTAAACTACCAAATTATCTACCTCAAAATGTAATTTTTTTTGTCGCTTTTTGCTTATATACATTTTTTATCTTAAATTGACAAAAAGTGCTTGTTTTTATTAAAATATACTATATTGTAAGTTAGAATTGCGATTCAGTTAATTATTACCAATAATCACTATTTGCAATGATTTGAAAAACTTTATGTAAGAATATATCTTATTTTAAGATTGAATACGCGTCTAAGCATAAACAAATTGCCATCATCACATTTGTATGCCTTCAATGGCATATGTACTATATTTCAGTTTAATATTGTATATCCAAAATAATGTCACATCTCGTGTCTGAAATTTGGTTATTACTTAAAGGTACTATTAAATGATATATTGCTTCTATATTAGAATAAGATCGAAAAAATTAACCTAATTTGTGCTATGAAAAATTAATGAAGTATTATCAGCTACAATTGACCCGTTACTCATTAGCATCAACAGCACTACTGCTAATCTGTAAAAAGAGCCCTTCTTTAGCTCTAAATTGCTACAGCGATGATTCCTTATTGAATTAAGTTTGTTTCAAGTTGCCTGGCAAGTTGAAGAAAGGTCGCGAAATGCTGCAGCTTTAACATCCAAGGCTAACAAATGGCGTATGTTGCTAGTATTCTACAATGATGTATCATGATGCCAAAGATATCGATGCATTCGTATAATCAATTAGCTAAAAAACTAATCAAAGCGTGTATGCTTGATGGCGTTGTCTGCTCAACAGCACTAAAACTGTTCACAAACTTAAGTGGTCGTTAATATTAGCTTAAAAGACGCCACTGAGAAATTTCAATAGCTTTTAATCTGTTGCAAATTTGTAAAGTTAAAATAATATTTTTCGTTAGTTTTGTAAAATGATTGGATTACCTCATCCATGCCAATACTCTTGGTGATACTCATATCCATATAGATAATTAACCTAGTTTCGCAATAAATTCTTAAAAATATGTATTTAAATCCGTAGGATGGCCAAATCAACTTAACAGTTATCGGCTCATCAAAATATGTCCGCTAAAGACCCTAATAATATCGCAGTTACAGATTTAATTATTTATGTAAAAAATACTGTAAAAATTACTATTAACGACCTTCGCATGTATCGCTGCTATACTTATATATTGCATACTACAATTTCTATTTAATAAGTTTTATAATGTAATCCAATTTGATTACTTAATTCCATAGATAGCTTTTTAGGCCAAATATAACACAAAACTATACATAGAAAAACATGTCAGTTTTTAGAGAACGCTTTCCGTAGGATAACTTAAGAGTACTTCAAGACTTTAATGGCATTCCTATTATTAGTAGTGAGAAGTGAAATCTACAAATGATAACAGTAGAGCAATTTAAAAATGTTCATATTCCTTAATTGCTATAATGTTCTTAGTAGTCATAAGCGAAATCTACAAACAGCAGCAGTAGGATAACTTAAAAATAGTTAAAGGCTCTAATTGCTCCAGTGCTTTTAATCATTGAAAACGAAATCTACTAACACTGACAGTTGCTATTTGTGGATTTCACTCTGGGTTATTCCTACATACGAGTAAGAAATCATATCATAGTAAACATCTGTGCTGATGAATGTTCATCAAAGCAGGATTCATCGATCCCGTCAGTTTATTGACGAATGAGAACTACCACGTAGAATCAGATTCTACAGCAGCATTCCTATTGTCAAGGTAGACTAGCTCTACGTCTATTCGAAGATATTATAGCCTTTCTATTCCTTGTCATCCAAATTGCTTTATGGATTGCTACGTCTAGGTTTCGTTTTAGGCAGCTAAGAACGTTCATGTAATTAAAACCTTTGGGCATTTTCAAGTCGCCATAATGTTACTGTTTGTGAATTCCACTTTAGATCAATTATCCAAAGAAAGTTATATAATGGAAAATATTTTAAGCTTACGAACGATGGATAATTACCCTATAGAATAATCAGATACTACGGCAGTATTTATATTATCAAGGCAGAAACACTTTCTACTGCTGTTCATCGAGGCTGGATATATTACGCTTCATAAAGATAGATCATGTTATCAATACTCATTACGCTAATATCTCTTTTGAAGTTATGCATGCAAGCATGACCTTAATCATCTCAATGCTTTATTAAATTAGCAGTTATGTTGATCAGAAAGGTTATTAAATTAAGATTGAACATATTGCAAATAAAGTGGATGCTAATATTATTCTTTGAGATATTCACTTTAGGTCTTGGAAACTGAATAAGGAAGTAATCTTTTAGATTGTCATAGAGAAAGATGTCTATCGCCATCCGATCTACTCTTCTGCTTATTTAGCAGATTTTTCCATGATCCATGATTATGTTATTGATCATGTGCTGGCTAGAATCGATAAACTTTGATAGTTAATAACACCCATATTATTATTATTACAAAATAACATACTCTACGATAGCGTATAAGTTCACTTTTTTTAAGTATTCCTACAAAATGTAAATTAAAGACTAATCTAGTGTACCATAAATGCCGTCAGTATAGGTTTAGATCTGGTGATAATTCAATTACTACACCATGTTTCTTTGCAAAAATTTCATTACATATTTTGATAGATAGCTTTCTTGCTTGACTTTTAATTTCATTACAGGTAGTGAATAATGCACTAATTTTGTAGGAATGTATTTTCATGCATTGATGTTTCTATTAGTTGCACCAAATTTTGGACAGCTAGAATACGGGGTAGAAAGTCTTCGCTGTGTGAATTATTTCATACAGCGATACAGCTGTCAAGTTAGTTAGCTACTTTTTATAAGACAAAAATGGCGTCACATCGAGTTTGTTTTCGAGAAACACCCGAATTTGAGGTATTAATCAACTGTAATAGGAAACTTGTCATTAATTTACCGACCCAATTTATCTTTCAACATTTACTTGCCAATGGTATCATTGAGAAAGATGCGATGCAAGGTCTGCCAATGGATGATACTGCTAATAAAATCAAGAATCAACAGTTTCTTCTATCTTTGCAATCGAAAAGTATTGAAGATTTCTATCAATTTTTAACCATATTGACACGAGATGATTCACCGCGGCAAGATTTAGCTGATTATTTAAAAGATGAATTAAGACAGCAAATTGGCCCTATAACTGTTAGTTCTGACGAAGAAGATGAAATAAAATTGAAGGAACAAATAGCAGAAGACAATGAAGAGGAAGAGGAAGAACAAACAGCGGAGAGTGGCACAGCCAGTTTAAGTCTATCAGATGAAGAGGAAGTTATTTATAGTCAAGGTGGATTTACAAAAATGTTTTATTAACGAATAGCTTAAGCGATGGCACCCTTGAATCACCCTATTTTAGAAAGTACAGTATGCAACTGGGGTAACCTTGCATTACTTTACATTAGCATGAGTATTGATTGACGGGCTCGCTATAACTTAGAATTCGCAATAGCTTAGAAATGGGCAGCATCAATCACAAGTTATTTCGACCAAGAAATAACGATTTGTGCTCTTTATATTCATAATTATAATCGCAGTATATCTAGCCGTCTACAAGGGTTAAAATGAGGTCGACTTTTGCGTCACAAAAATGACCAGAAAGATTTTAAGGACAGTAATTAACTTTATAGCATAGCTGAGAATAGCATCAATCCATGTATTAATTAAGAAATCTTTTTTACTTATCAAGAGTCCGGCACATAGGACAGAATTGAACGACGTTCGCTAATATTTTGTACTGGTATATATTTTATAGAAAAGGGCAATGAAATTAGTCCATCAACATGCTCAAGTATGCCCATTTCTGTGGAAAAAAAAACAACTGTCTACGCTTGGGGTGCAAATCGTTACAGTCAGCTAGGTGGAATTAACTTGAAGGAAGATACGGTAACTACGATTCATATTCAAGTATTCTAGTTAGTTCTACAAATGATATAATAAGCTATTTAATGAACTTAGCAATAAGAATACTCTGTTCACTTTTCTAGTCTAGTTCAATATGATCACCTTGATCGAAGACATAGAATAACTATTCCAAAGCATTTTCTAATAGGGCGTCGAATACTTGACCTATATATCCATTTCTGTCTTTAGGTATTAGTGCCAACTGTCAATGAAATCATGTCTAATCTTAAACCTAACATGATGACTGCTGGATTAGGTTGTACTTTCATCGTGACTAATGATGGCTGCATTTATGTCTGCGGCCATGGTCAAGATGGACGATTAGGACTAGGAACAGTCAATCATGTTGTTATCCCTAGACCGATCCATTTAAAAGTATTCATAACCAAAGTGGCTTCATTTTATTGTGGCCAACATGCTCTAGCTTTAACTGGAAATGGTATCGTCCTATCATGGGGAAGTAATATTTATGGTCAACTAGGTCATGGCCATTGCAGGTAGGGCATAGAATATACATTCAATCAAAATGACTATGGCTGAAAAGATTGATTATTAGCCTTTCGAAGCAAATAAAACTGTAGACATGGATAAGTTAGTATAGCACAGACCCCCCATAATAACTTAAGACTGAGCTCAACCGATTGTGTGAGAATAGTTAAAGTTAGACATAGATATAAGATTGCCCTCGTACCTCTTTGCAAATGATATTGGCACCATAGTTTTATCGTTCTAACCAATTTGGCGTGATGCTTTTATTGCATATCAATCGTCAATTTCTGTTATAAGACTATGAATTAGATAGCTAGATAATTAGACTAAATAAGATAGTCCTTAGTAATTCATTACAAGAACTAATTTATAAAATATTACTACAAGAACTTCGATTTATTATGCGGTAGTGAATGGATTCTTAATAAAGATACTTTACTTTGTCACAGTTAGCTAAAATGTCCAGTTGTACAATTTTCCCAGCAATTGCTTTCACTTCTTTTCTTATGATCATATGAAATACTGTCAATAAGATAATTGGTTAGATAGAGATAGTCATTGGTAATGTAATAGACGACCCAGTTTATCCACGGTAATGAAATATAATATTACAACAAATTGAAGATCGTATTGGAATATTTTTAAATGTTCTATCACGATTGGCTAAAACATAAAGTTTTACTACAGTATTCCTCAGCATTTGCATTCACTTGTTTTTATCCTTTTTACTGCAACCTTTATATCGTATATAAGTTGTAAATTTTGTAGAAATACTTTAAATTGGATAATGTTAGACTGAAGATAGTCCCTGGTAATTTAGTAGACAAACCAATTTATGCATGTAATGAAAGTACCTCGCAACTATTCTATCTAATTTAGTCTAATTCTCATAAAGTAACTGTCTCAGGCATATAAAATTATTTAAAAAATATTTGTATTAACGAGGTTATGAATAGTATAGTAGAGCAATAGATAATAGGTTCAATACTGTACTTTAGTAGTGAGAAACAAATTTGAAGTATCCTGAGCTCTAGAAAGTAAAGTCTAGTCTACCCCAAGCTCATCTCTGCACTTCTTTAACACATCTCGTTTAATCTATTCACAGCAACAGAGTTGCCTACAATCAGCAGTAAGTCATCTAATAGAATTACTTTTCCTCAAATATATCATCAACATGTCTTACAGTAAGAATTAATCAGCCTAAAATACCATTACTCTTCTGTTAATGTCTAACGCCGTACGATGCTGGCCATTCCACATTTATAGTATATCATTTTAGAAGGTACCATAATTACCCAACTGGCTAATATGAGTGATCAACAATTTCTAATATAGTCATTTTCTAATATAGTACCATAATTAGCAACCATCTAAGATTAGCATCACGATAATACCTATTCCTAGAAATCTAACTGACCATATCCAATATAGCTATCAATACAATCAAATATGGGGCAAATCGCTATAATGCAATACCGCCAAGTCTTACACAAATTAAAGTTCCATTTGTCATATTTTTGTAGATACTTTACTGCGTCACAGTTAGCTACAATGTCAAGTTGTAACATTTCTAAGCCATTACTTTCATTTTTCTTCCTCAACTTATTATGGATGGAATCATACATGGGTTGGATTGAACTATTACTATTTATTTACACGTAAGAAATGTAATCCATCCAACAGTGATCGATACTATTAGTTCGAAGCATATCGTCGATATTGCTTGCGGTAGCGATAGCAGTGCTGCTATCAGTGATAGTGGAGAATTATTTACATGGGGATGCGGATTTCAAGGGTGCTTAGGCCATGGTGATACGGAGACTTATAAGTTGCCTAAGAAGGTAAGTCCGCCTGAAGAATAAACGCCATGTTTATAACTAATCGTAGCTCAAATCTATTGGCGACGGTCACATTTTTATTCATTTGAATGGAAAATTGATGCCGTACTTGTATTTTTATTCAACGTTGACCCTGATATAAGGTGGAAGCATTTAAGGACTATCATGTTAGCAAGGTTGCTTGCGGTTGTTGGCATATGCTAGCCATTGTCAATCAAAATCGTATCTGGTCATGGGGCCATGGACATTATGGCCAACTTGGGAATGGACAAAGCGCTAACTGCCTGCAACCGATACTAGTAGAGCAATTGCCGCATATTCTATGGGCGAAAGTAATTTGTGGCTGGGATATTTCTTTTGCCCTGTCACAAGATGGTTATATTTGGTCGTGGTAAGCTGATAACCAATTTAAATATGTCGTAGATAGTTATAAGCAAGTTCTGCTATTCCCGGCCATGAAGGCTTGCATACTGTGCAATGAGTGTGCATATCGACAGTTATTATGCTATTGCTACATATTGCCATAGCCCATGTGATTCATGTCGATTTAATCGGTCTAGTGACGGCGGGTTTAATGATTCAGCGGTAGCAGACTTAGTAGTTGCCATGCAGAGGAATACGCCAACATTTATTAGAAAAAGGATACTTTATTGCTGATAACAATTACATATAATATGGTAGATACAGCAGAGCAGAGTGTAAGCTGTTGTGAAATGCTACAATAACATGACGAAATATTAATACTGCGACTTTTGCCACAACATTGGAGGTAGAAATCGCTAGTGATTATAGCTTTAGAGATAGAACACATACAGAGAACAAGATTATAAGATTTAATACAACACATAACATAAAGACTTTGTATTAGCAAATGATTGTAGAAAATAGCCATAACTGTAAGTGCTATAAAATAACTAAAAACGACAAGCTACATTTAAATTTAGTCCTATAAGACTGTAAAAGTATCTATATTTAAGAATACTATAAATTGACTATATTTAAGAATAGGTGAGTTACGGTACAATTTGAATACATTACGCTACAGTAATTTTGGCATATCATCCCTGATAAATTAATCCATACACAAGCGAATAATTTCTCGAACTATTCTTCAATCTATTGATAAATTATTGCTATTAATTTATGCCATAAGGGGCTACAATGGAGATTTTATGGTCAATGAATGCTCACGCCTAATAGTGGATGAACCACAGCTACTTTATAGACTGGCTGATCAAGATAAGAAAATTGTCGATCTTGGCGCTAGCAACTGTCATTGTGTTGCTTTAGCTGCTGATGGCGAGGTAGATATATGCAGAAATTGCATTACTTCTAATATCAGTATAATAGATAGGTGAAAGAGGGGAAAGTTATCATTCTTTAAGGTTCTTCATTGCTAAAAAATAGACCAACAGGATGATGAAATAACTCAGTTTATAGAGTTTTGCAATAGAATCACTATCGTAAAATGGAGCAGTAAAAATAACCTTTACTCATCGATGTTCCTCCTTCTGCAACTGTAATTAAAGTGTACTATCCTTCAACTTAATATTAATAATTTATATTTATTTGCAATTGGAATAGTTATACCTGTGGGGAGCAAATGATAAAGGCAGACTCGGTAATGGAAGCGATATTAAAGATTGCAATTTTCCAAAGCCTTGTACAGCATTAGCTGATGTCAAATTAACCCATTTGGGGTGTGTAGCAGCGCATTGTACGGCTTGGAGAGCAGAATAAACTATTTTAGAAATAGCAATACGAATGTTCAATTTACGGAATAGTGAATTTGTTCTGTTACTCTTAATTATAGCAATTTCAGATTGTTAATGATTTACTAATCTTGCTCTGATATAGTAATATCTACTACGCAGGATAATTTACGTATAATCTACCTCTATATGTCTATCAACTCACTTGTATTACTTAAATTTAGTGACTGTTAGTCATAGGTTTTGTAAGGTTTCATATTTGAAATAAACTACCAGTTATCAATTTTATTAAGACGCTAATACAAGAAGAAAAGATACGACAGTTTTATCCAAATATAAATTTTCGTTGATTTATAAAGTACTCATAGTAATACTTGATTTATCTTGCAGTTAACATTACCAATTGTGATAAATTTCAGGGCTTAGCGTTACCTAAAATATACACTTACTGGTTATATTAAGGTAAAGTAGGGTAAAGTTATACGAGATAAATCAACTTTTTCCAGCCATATCTTTTATCAATCCAGTCCGGTTACCGAATATTTTCTTGTCATAAGTTCGAAGTTCATGCAGTATAAGATTTTTGTAAGCTGCAAGGATATCTAGCATAAATTTGGATGCAATTATGAATCTGTTTAAATGGCACTAGATTATATCCAAGATTAGATCGCTTTATGTTCGATATCGAAGGGCATAGATCTAAAGGTGTACATTCTGGTACATCATAAATCCCAATAGTTTACTTCAATCGGCACTATTTGCTATGTATAGTATACATGAGAAATAAACTTCTAAATTAAAGCATTTACGAAATTCAACAATGATACCGTAGTAGTTACTGACCCATCGGATATACGACGAGGAAATAGACTATCAATGAAAATATTAATTTAGATATATTTTGACAATTATGGATATTGAAGATCTTGTTTCACGCTATATTTAAAAGATATTTTGCCTTTGCACATGTACAGTATACTCGTATGCACTAATATAGCGTTAGCTTAATTGCATTTGAGACTTCAACGAAGGTGATAGAATTCGCAAGTTATATCGATTTAGTTCCTAAATCGTAATATTTGCTTAGCTTCAAGACAATGTTTCGGGTATAAACAATTTATCTACTGATTTATCCTATAAAGACGTCAGCATCTGATGAGAAAACATAGTGTCATTACTACTATATTATATACAATAGCGGTATAGCTTTAATTTTATTATAGCTTATAGTAAAGATAAAGGCAAAATTCAAGAATGAATCGTGTGATTAGCTAAATAAATCTCGTAAGAAATTGTTTGAAAGAAAATTTTTACCAGGACTTCAATACAAATGGAATGTGTTCAGTTTAAAATAACAATTAATACATCCATGTTGGGAAATAATAACAGATATTGCAATATATCAAAACACCTATCAAGAATATTCAATTTGATCGTTTAATTTCAATTTAATATTGTAAATACAACCAATTAAGCCTGCATGAAAACTTAAAAAATAACTTTGGCTATTCTTTCTCTCTAGAATCTATATGTGGAAATTAGATATTGATAACTGCCATTCATGGCGGGATAACGATATCGAATGGACTACAAGACTTAATATTCTAAGTAGCAATTTAATTGTAGCAATAGGCGTCATGCCTAGAAATATGCTTAAAAATTGATTAATTGTACAATAAAATTAATACTTGGCTATTGGTTAGAAACGATAAGACAAATAAACATTAGATATTAAAAATCCGTGTGCCCAAGAGTCATCTAACCATGCTTAGCTTGGAAATAAGCATTTGAAATTTGTTTTTTTTTGACGTAAAGGCAATTGATAATGAGCTCAGTGAAGAGTTCCATGCTATGCTCTACTATATGATTCGTATTATAGTCATCATATAACCTTACATCAAGACTTTACTTTGTCTGCTATTTTCCGGGAATACTGCGCCAACAAATTATAAGCCTAAAAGTAGAGGATACTATAACATCTTAAGCTCTAATCAAAAGTTTTCCAGCACAAAACGTGTAATAATGCCTCCGGCAACAAACAGAAATATACCGTCTAAAATTCTCACTGAAGAAGAAAACAGAGTCATATTCGACATATTAGCAAGCCAAAAGTGTACGGTAAGGCGCTAGTTGATTTATGTTAAAGCTATCGTTAGTGTTGCCGAAGTACCGGTAAAACGAAAAGCGTCTACTTTTCTCCTAGCCGACTAACGTAATAGCCTGTGCCGGTAGTCATTTTGAGAACTGAATAAGTTCTGGTTCGATTTTGATCAACTAAACTTAGTTAGATACACCAAAAAGTAATAAGATTAGTAATATAGTAACCTTTCGTCTTTTATCTCATCATGGCCATCACTTAAAGTATTAAAACTGAAATAGCGTTTTGATCAAGATTTTTTAAGCATTGCTTTCTATGCCTGTTGATTATTTGATTTTAGAATAGTATGAAAAATTCCTTTCCAAAGGATTATTAACGCTATATTGCTTAGCAATATTATTGCATTGCTATTCTCTTTAAAAGTGGTTTATGGGTCTATTATTATTGTTGATGAAGATTAATGATTTAACTTGATAGCAGCTGGATTAAATAATTTTCAATTATTTTATATTGCTTCCTGAGGTAGACTTTAGCAACCACTGTTGTACAAGTTCAGCTTGCTCAACCGAATCCATCATCGTGGACTAAAAAATGTACTGGCGTACTTTGCTTAGTGAAAGATTACGCTGTCAAATCCTACTTTCTTCGTGTCTACAGCCCTGTGGTAAGTTTATTAATATGGAAAATAAGTCAATATAGATACAAAGATTAAGCTATCAAATTCTACTTTCTTCGTGTATTCATTCCTATAGTAAGTTAATAATCAATATGGAAAATAAGTCAATATACGGCCTAGATGCAAAGATAACGCTGTCAAATGCTATCTCCTTCGTGTATTTAGCCCTGTAGTAAGTTAATCAACAAGGAAAACAAGTCAATATAGATGCTCCATGTTTTAACGTACTCTCTTGTAGTTCTATCCAATGGATCTATTTTTAATTTCTTTCCTGCATTTAGAATTAAAGTAGTTGCTCTTTATTGGTCAATTTTTCATTCTGTCTAAGGAATACTACTACAAGTTAGAGGGAGTGGATCTAACATAAACATTTCCTTAAACCATATTACAAGCTTACTAAGCTTCTCCATTGTTATTTTATTTTTCTTCATGGACGATAGTCATTACTGAAGTAGACTAATGATATTACCTTCATAAATGATCAGACACTACCTTAAGCTTTACTACAAGCATCTACATTGATATCTTAATTTTCTTCATGGACGATAGTCAATATAGAAGTGGACTAATGATAATACCTTCAAAAATGTACAACATCAAAAATTGCCTAAGCTTTATTACGAGCTTCTCCGTTGTTAATATTTTATTATTCATCATGGATAGTGGTCAAGATTAAAGTAGTCTAATGATGATCCTTTAAAAACATGAACATGGCGATAATCAGCTTAGCAATAGATGTAAGCCGCCAATATTACCCTTAAGATAGAGGAAACCGTAAATCGAGGCGAATAAGTTATAGGATTAAATGTGTCATGCTAACGGCTGGAAACATTGGGGTACTACAGTTTGATTCTGAGGATTAAACTGCCACTGGTAGTTTTATACGAAACTATTCGCGTGGGTCAAGGTTCCCTCTTTCTCCTTGAAGCTTTCTAGCTATCTCATCTTACCTACCGTGTCTTATTCTAGCCCATTCTTTTCCTATAGCTAAATTACAATTTTTACCTTCGTTTTGCCTAGTCTTCCGGGAATGATCATACTCGATCAATAATATAATTATCCATGAACGTCTTCTTATTTAGGGAAAGACCTTACTTTGGGAGCAAGAAATCTATCTTAATTTCCAATATAAGAAATCGACGGAATACTTTCATACCTTTCAAGCTCATGTAAGTTGATTACACTAAAGTATGATAGGAATAATATTTCAATTGATTAAAGCCAGTTTCTAGCACTTTTTTACTGTTGCAAACTACCGGGCAGGCAACAGATGATAAGGTTATGTTGAAAAATGTGCTAACTACAATTGTGAATCATGGCTATTTATTAGGATTGCACAGCCGGATTTAATTTTGCTGACACCGATGAAGCTGCATCGTTCTACCTTACTTTAACCAATAAATTGAAATTAAAAAAAGAGAAAAACGCAAGTAATTCAATGATATTCATAATTTCTTATTTTCTAAAGAATTTTTGGCTCATTTGATAGTCTTCTTGGAGTAATTCTTGTGATATTAAAACTCAATCATGGCCGATGTCAAGAATTATGTTCCCATTTAGCAACTTCATTACAATTTTTAATGCGCTATTGCAATGATACCCCAATCGATGTGAATAATAAAATGAGTCTATTTTGTTTTATTAACACCCTTGGCAATATTAAGCTGTCTCTAGAAGTAAGCAAAAGAACAAACATCAACAACCGATATCCAATAAACCATTGGATACTTATGTTAGAAAAGATTCTGCTCAGGTGAAAAGCCTTAATCTAAGTCATAACAAGCGAAGGCCCAGAGATAAAGGCGGAAAGAAATTGACAAAATTGGATATTTCCCAACCGACAGAGTTTAGGTAAATTTGCATTAGGGTAACATCCAGCGTTGTTAAGACTTAGACTGAAAATTTAGACAGTAGATTATACTGTTTCGTGCGTCATAATACATAAGCTAAAAAATTATTTGATCATTATTCTATTTGCTATAATTATTATCACTAACAGTAATATGATATGATCAACTAGGCATTTAAAGCATGTTGGATGGGATGAGAATTCTAAATCTCTCGTAAGTAATCCATGACGACCGCGCTCAAAGTTAATCTTTCATTTTTTTCTCATGATTGTACTAACCAGGAAGAGCTTTAGCATTTGAGTATAAAAGCTTTACCATACTTGTTGCTAGAATTGACAATTTAATAATTGGACTATTGTAGACAGAAATTTCATTTAACTATCATAAGATAATATAAAGTAGAATTTTGTTCCAAGTCTATTGATATATAATATTGCCAGTAAGTAGCCCGTCGTGAATGCTAATTACAGCTCAAGATAACTATCAATCATACTTGTATCACAAACTTGTCAGTGGTTGCAATGAATTATGCTTTTGTTCTCATTAAAAGGTCGAAGAGGTTTCTGAGGAATGGAAAGATTTATATTCAAGCATTGGCTTAACAACAGCAGATCTCCATGATGAAAATATAATGCAAATGGTGCATAAAGTTGTTGAACAGCGTGGTGGTATCGAAAAAGCCAACAAAGAGATCACCTTACGTAGACAGCGTTAGTAATTCATAGACGATTACAGTCATTACTGGCTTGATTTTAAATTTCTTCCATGTCGAAAATATTGCAGCTTTGGGGTAGTGTAACGATATGGAATGTACTAATGTTGTGTTATAGGAAAGAATGATAGTTCTCCGGAAAAGAAAACATCATCGCATAGTGTACCACCACGTCCAGCACCTCCTCCTCCTCCGGTACCTGTGAATAAAGAACAAAAATCTCCGATTAATTCTGGCAAAACTGCTGCACCACTCCTCCTCCACCACCACCACCACCACCACCACCTCCTCCTCCTCCTCCAGGTCCATCGCTATCTCGTCCAAGTCTTCCACCAGTCCATGGCTCGCCAGCTCCATGTCCCCCACCACCGCCATGTCTTCCATCACTTCCAGGTCCTATACCAATTCCTATTCCTGCTTCGTTACCACCTTATTCCTCCTCGCGATCTCCTTCTCCACCACTTCCTTCTCCTCCACCACTGCCAGTACCGCCTGTTTCTGAACCTCGCGAATCACTTTTTGATCAAATACATCGAGGAATAGAGCTGAGAAAAGTTCATAATGTAATTACACCCTAAATTACGAGTAATCATCCGATTTCATTACTTCTCAACCTTGTAATAATTTTTAGACGGAAGAAATGAAAAAAAAAGCACCTCCATTAGCTGAAGAGTCGAGTATTATAACTGCGTTGGATAAAGAATTAGCTAGGATGAATCCTCGAGTTCAAAGTAAGACTGTAATGGCCCTTTAGCGGTTATTAGAGCCTTATAGTTGATCCGTTATTTATAAAATAAGGAGAGCACAATCACACTGAATTTTCATTTTGTTTCCATTCTAAATTGGAGGATCAGATAGTGAAAGTTCTGATGGGTCTGATTGGGATGATATGGACTAATGAAAGACGATTAAAGCAAATTTTGCGAAATCTAACCAAAAGGTAACTTAAAAATTCCCTTCTAAATATGATCTATCTCTGAAGGGCCTTAGTTTAGATAAACAGCTTACAATATCCCATGTTGCTTATTTATAATAAATTTGAAATTATCCATGACACTCATAAATTGGTTAGTCACTTAAATTAAGAATGGATCTCCAAATAATTTAAAAGTTTCTTCATTATTTTTTGCACCATGCAATACAGCGATTACATAATAATAATGTTGTGAATAAGGAGTGAAATGGCATTTCGCCTAGCACAGGTAGAAAAAGAGCGACCGTAATCTATATACACCGTACAGACTACAAAGTCAACATTATCCACCAATAACATCTTAATGTTGTATTGATTTAATTTGATCAATTTAATGGCTGAACACAGTAGTGTTGATAGTGCATTTTACATTTTTTTATTACCTAAAACCCTATGGAAAGTATATGTGTTTAGGCTCTAATTTATTAGTTATGTACCAACAGTGACATTGTCAACATTTGCCTAAATCATTCTCCTATCATCCATCTGATCATTGCTAAGTACTTAACAAAGTCCTTGTGTTAATGTATTCGATCAAATACGATAGACTCTCTTCACATAACTTAGTGCCATGTAGTAAAATCATTAGAATGAAGAATGATTTGATTAAAGTAACCCTGTTTTACTCTTAAAATTTTTTCAGTGAGATTGGTTTAATTCACCAGCGACAACCATGGTACAACAGAAATATTTATAAAGAGCATATACGAGTTAGCGACTCGTGATGAATTTATGAAGAGATTATATGCGAAATAAATAAAAAGATTTTTTCTTTCATGACTACAGACTAGAATAATACTACCATTTATTATTATATTTATAACATTTTCGATAGTAAGTAAATCTACAGGCATAAACCGTACGTGCATTTATCCATGAATTTATTGCTACTAAGCACGAGCTAATTTATTTCGTCTTCTGAGGGATACTTATATGTATTAAAAATGAACGGTGATATTTGTTGAAGATTTAAAACTGTAGTTTTCAAATTCGGCAGCTAAACTCCAATGTTGTTGGTAAACATAAAAAGCATTTCGTAACAAATCATAACAAATGCAACTATAAATTTCTTGTTAATGCACACATAGCGTATCGATTGGCATTTTCATTAGTATACGTATGAATTCATTGCGACTTCTGTTAAGCAACCATGAGGGCAAAGTAGAGCGCAGAAATTAAATCTCTTCCTTAGTCCGATCTGTCGGATGCATGATACGTTTTTATTTTAGAAAGGAATCATCTTTACTATTCGATTCTATATTTCCAGCAGTTATAATTATATATCGTACATGGTCAATTCGGTAATCAGGACCGTTTTTATACATTATATAGTACTATTTATAATTAATAATTCAGTTAAAGTGATTCAGTGCGAACAGCGGTACATAAGAGATTAGAGCCAGCAAATTCAGCAAGACGTGTATATCGTGTTATCGAGTAATGCATTCATTTACATTAGCAGTTAAAGGAACGATAATGTATTGGTGTTGCAAGCATAACCTTTCAATACCGTATGAACCAAATTATTAAGTATCACAGTAGGATCAATTCTGAACGAAATTTCCCTTCGATACGCAAAGCGTATGACTGATGCGCTTTACAAGTATAAATTACAGATAGTTTACAAATACTTTTGGATTAACAATGGTATTTAGTACAAGTAACGCAATTCGATAGACGTCGCGGAAATTATTAAATAGAGGAGACCTAGAACTTCTTCATTTTCTAAATTTCTTAAATAAAGGATGCCTTTGTTTCGGCTTATTATATTCTAGATATACTAAATCATCTGCTCCAGACAGCGACGCCATTGAAGTAGTGCGCCTGACAACCTAGAGTAACATGACATTATTAAGTCCTGGATCAAACATTATCACAGATTGATAATTTACTCGCATGAACGGGTGTATAAAATTCTCTTAAGTCATCTCTTAATAAATTACCTGTGATTTGCTACTTGTGCTATAAGTGTCACCAGCTACTTTTTCTTCTTCCGCATCGGTTTCATTAGCTGCTAGAACTTTTTGTAACAACTGATGTTGATCTTTTTTTTCAGTATATAGCAGATTTTCCTAAATCGATCATACTCTATACTCAATTCTTTGCACTAATCAGCTCTAGTACATAAATAACTTTTTAAATGCCTGATAGTCACTTACATCGTCCATTCCTGACAGTTTAGTGATTACCTAATGTTAAATTAAATTGATAAAATATATTTAAGACATCAATTTATTAATTGCAAGATAATTACATAAATATAGAGCGAATTTCTCGTAGTGAAATACTTTAAAGCTGTATCCCTGATTAATGAGGAACCGTTGCCGTTTCGAAGAAAAGTACATTTCCTGTGTATCCTATGGAATTAATGTTGATATGTTATTTGATCGTTAATACCTTATAATTATTTCATCAATAGTTTTGTTATACGAATTACCTGAGAAACAAGGGAGTAAAAATATGCATTGTATTCCTCTGTTGCAGAATCCTTTTTTGCTCTAAGAATACGCCCAAGACGCTGAGCTTCCTAGAATATTCAAAAACGTAAAAGATAAAAATAAGACAACACATGTGGCATTATCTTTTATAATCGTCAACTTTAGAACGCCATTTTATCTTTGTAAATTTTATTTTACTTGTCTCCTTGAGCCACCATGAGAAGAAATCTAGATGCAATGGTATTTTTAAGTTAGAACAGGACTAAAAGGTGATCGATAACTGTACCTGACTTACCTGGATTAATACATTAGCTTCCGGAAGATCGAAGGAATTATCTCCAACCTAAGTAGATCGATGTATGAGACACTTCAATTTATTGGTTAGCACAATGATATACTGACCTTCGATATAAATATGCAATTAACAAGAGGATTATGCTGGAAATTCTGTAAAATCTGTAATCTTTCTTTTTGTGCCGTTGGACCATAGATGTATGGCCTATAATAGCAATATCTATTAACTTCTAATCGAAATTTTGTAACAGGTCAAAGAACAATTATATAGTTATGACACATTTGATCGTGCAGTACTTACTTTCCAAGTTCTATAGCATAATGTTTTAGGCCAAAGACATTGTCAGAAAAAACAATTACTTTATCGTTGCGTCTACCAATAAACAACATTAATTATTTTACTTTTCGCCAATTTTTTGCATTGTTAATTAATTTATATTAAGCCTTAACCTACCTTTCATGGTATTTGATCAAGAACTGTAGTAATTTACAAGATGATTTGTTGTTAGTAAAAGAGCACATATACATGTTTTTATTAGATATGAAGTTTACCTGGCAGGCTCGGAACTTGTTAGGATTCATAACATAAAATAGCTAAATACAGCAAATGTAAAATTAAATTGGAGATGAATAACAAAAATACGTACATGTTGATGTCATCAGTAAGTAAATAATAAATTATTAACGTTTATGCTAAATTTTTACTTTACCATGTGTTTACGGGTTTTAGTCGTTAAGTATTCTCTGTAAAATTCCGGAGACATAGGACACCAAACCTTTATTGTAATTGAAAACGAAAATTAACTGTGGTGAAAATGCAGTCACTATACGTTGATAAATCTAAGCCTACGAATGGACACATGCCTCAGCACACTGTACTCTTGCTATAAAGTTTAATGATTGCAATTCCATCCAGTTAGCTTCGTATAATTTAGGACCAATTAAAAAATTAAGATCCTACATATTTAATTTTCAGTAAAAATTAGATTAATTTCCAATGCAAAATGACCTTCGCCCACGTAATCAGATAATGGTTAATGTTGTTATTATAACAAACCTGAATTTTATCATCTTCTCTAACTAAAGTTGCCGTCAAGCCCAATTTACAATGTGCATGGACCACTAATTATGGCAGACAGGTTGATAATATAAATTAAAGATCAAATTTAATGATAACAGGGTAATACTGCTATTATTCACCTGTTAAAACCCTCCGAAATTGTTTTGCAGGAATGGTATGCACCTCTAAAATAGTGAATTGCAATTAAAAATTATGATCTAAATCATATCTTGTAAAATAGTGCGTATAGTATTATACCATCCAGTATCATAAGACCCCATTCTTGCCCTTGCAAATATTCCATTACCTATACCAATAGAGATGATTAAAGACATTACTTCTGCTGTGTAGTCAGCTATATCATAAATATACATACAGTATTATAGAAAGAAATTACCCTTTCCGATTCCCATGACCTTTTCGTTGTATGTGCAACCATAGAATAAGTACTGATTGCTACACTACATCCTAAATGTGATAAAAATCAATTTAAAAGACTTAAACTTAACCAGCTACACAAATATCAAAATTTAGCTGCAGAACTAATTACTACCACTTATTACCAGACGGCTTATCTTTTGCATCCGAAGTAAATCTTGATATTAAGGATTCATCAATGGTGGACCACAGCTTGAACTAATATAAATACATGAAGAAATATATTATAGTTGAGTATAAAAGTGAAATAATTTAAGAAATTAGCATAATTCTATACGGCTTTACCTGTGCCTTCCACTGCTCTACTGCAACACCTAAACACGAAAAATAGTATAACTTACATACTATAAGTAAATGATTAATAATGTTACGTACCTGAGGTACATAACACTAAACATCTCTTTTTCACAGTACAGGCTGCTGTAACACCTACAAGCGTTTTACCAGCACCTTTAAGACGGAAAAAAATAGATAAAATTTAGCGCAATATTGAGTTCTTGTAGCAATAGATTTCCTTAACTTACCGCATGGCAAAACAATAACGCCGGAACGTGCTCTACCATTGCCAAACATTTTACGTAAAGACTTTTCCTAAATAACCAACATAAATATTATACCTTGCTTGTTCGGTTTACAACACCTGTAAATAACTATCTTACTTGATAAGGTCGCAATATCGTTGTTGGCCGTAAGTCAATGCTAGAACATCATAGATAATAATTAAATGGCGGTGTGTTAGTAACTTGAAAGTCTAAGGATGTAAGAATGCACAGCTTGCTTTACCTAATATCTGGATTGACAGTGTCATTTCTGAAATCATATTCTGCTAATAAAGGGTATTCCATTTCGATGCATCTGGTAAAGTCGTAATATAGAGTATCAGCTATAATAACATTGTAAAACGATTAAAATTTGATCCACCTTCTTTGTACAAGTTCGACATCGTCCGAATTGATTTCAAATGATATCGTTTTAGTCTAACAAAAATATGAAGGGCATCAAGGATATTTCAAGACTATGGTATTGTCGCAAATGTAAACCGGACTGTCATTATGATTGGCAGCTTACGATTTCAATGTCTTCTTCATCCCGGTCAATTTTATCCAGGTAATCGTATATGTCGCTGGGTATATTTTCTTCCTAAACGGGTATAATACAGCATGTAATCACGACTGCTATGTTAGCTATATATCTAGCTATGTACATACCTCAGCGTTTTTATTTTCATCTTTGGATGAATTACTTGTGATCCCATTTCTGAAAGCGTTATAAAAGTTTAGTGACGCATCATTTATTCAATGGCAATCATTAATAACGTGGTTTTACCTGGAGTGTACTTTAGAACCATTATTTACTGCCTAAATAAATACGATAGTTAGGATACACTTTTAAATTAAGGTTGTATATAGACAATTTTCATACATCAATAGAGAGCTACCTTAGGGTCTAATGTTTCATCTGATTCGCTTGGATCATTTATTTGGCCTTCTTTGACTCTAATCAGGAAAAGTGGAAAAGACATTGTAGGGGTAACTTGGTGTCATTCTTACATTTGCTATTGGTTTATCGTATTATGAGCGTACCTTGCCGCCTGTACAACAGGATCCTTTAGCAACATCTGAATAATCTCCTAAAGCAGTTAAATCATTGTCTCTATTATTAACGATACATGTTTAAACTCGCATACCATCCATAATTTTGAAATATTTTAATAAAGTACTAACCGGATGAGAACTTTCAACGTAATAGCGATTGTGCTTTAGAACCATTTTCACTTTTCCATAGCTAACAGTACATAGCTGCAAATCGAAAAATAAGTTTTTTAAGTGCGGATGAATTCAATTTTGTTTAAATCTACTCGAACCTTGATAAATTCAATGACACCATCAGGTATAGAAGCCTTGCTAAGACGCCTTAAATATTCGATTATATCTTCCGTCTGTGCATTAGTATAGATTGTGATCAATGGACAGGTTTTGCATGTAATAGTTATAATGTTTGATTAATTAAAGTTAAGTCTACAAAACCGTTAATGGAATCTGAAACTATTTTATTGCTGACCTGAAGACCAACTGATACCGCAGCATATAATGAATATGGAGTTAGCCTATATCATAAAGAAATTATTTTATCAACAAGAAGATTTAAGTTAAAAATCGGGCATTGCAAAATTACTCGACGAAATCGTTTATATCCAAATATTAATTTATAGCAATTTATGTGAGTTACTGTATAACTGCTACAGTAGATGAGTGATCAGTATACATTCTAACATACATTGAGTTATGCATATAAACTAATACCTATGCAAAGTATAAGAAGATATTACTAAATACTAATAATAAATAAAAATTATAAATCGTGCTATTTTGATGCGACACATAGACTTACTTGTATTCATGAACATGTTCAGGTCTACATATTGGCTACAAGTTAAAATAATTAATAAGGTAATTTAGTACTTTGCTGGTTCAAAAAGTATTCAGTTGTAACGTGATGTATCAATTCCAATCATACATTATAAGGCATTTAATGAATATCATAAATCATGAATTAATTACTTCTGAAATAGCAATTAAGAAATCATGTGCGTGCTTATACACTGGTGAAAAAGCTTCTAAGAAGATATGGCCATCAGGAGCCTACATTGATAAAACAAGGGTATTGTTAACGTAGATCTAAGAGGAGAGATACCTATATGAGTAAGTATAGTAATTTTGATTGTGTATGTAGACCAAGTTGCAGAAACAAACTAGAGTAGTGCAAGATATTATTCTAAATCCATACCACCCATAATGGTCTTGTCCTGTGATCTGGCTTTAATTGCATAACATCACGGTAATCTTTGGCACCATAATCGTCCTAAATGATGTAAGTGCTTCGTAAATTTTAAAAATCATCTAGTAGAAGAATTTACTTTTGACAGATTATATACGAGGCTGCTGATGCTCGATTCATTACTTATCATGATTAAAGTAGTTTCAGTCTGTTGACATTGCTATTATCACATAATTCTTGTTTTTAGCTAATTCAGTACTTATTTTATTCAAATAAATGCTCCTATTCCTTATATGTAATAATAACTCGAAAGACTACACATTTAGGAAAGTTCTAAAAGTCAATTGAGTACTTTTCTCTTATCAGAGAACTGAGCGGTAAGATTTACGTATATTTTGTTATAGATCTAAATCTTAAACTAAGATTGCATTTCATTTATTAGAAACACTGCGAAACAGTTCAAGTTTTACAACGGATTCAGAGTAGTAGCTAGCAAAGTTTTCACTTTACAGTAAATTGAAGAAAGCCATTTTTTATCTTATCATCAAACAAATATTAGTAAGAGAATGTAGCGATATCAGCCAGATAAAGGTAAGCCAGGCGAAAATTATTGGATTGTCTACATAAACATGCTTGCAATTCTAGTGTATAATCCTGCCTACTTCCACAACTGTCATAAATCGCTAAGTTTATTAGCTAGAATATCATTTGGTAATTAAGAAGATTTGATTTACTAACCGTTTTGGTGATACCAGTTGGAGTAGAAGTACTGGCACTTTTGGGCACGGATACTGTTAATTAATCAATAAAGATTTTACTATTTCATAATCACAATATAAATGCATATCTATCATACTATATTTAACTGTAAGCGATTTTAGTATAGTGAGAAATTGCTACAATCATTCATTCTAATCATCATGAAAGCAATAGAAAAATTGACGTTATCATATTAAGCAACCATTTATGCTACTTGATTTGTAATTTCTTCAGATTGCTACGATTCACAGACTTGTCAATGTCAGTTATCATTGCAAAAATGTTATAAATTTATGGGATATTTCTATCCGGCATGAAAGGATAGGCATACTGTAGTCAATCTAGGCTTGCCAATACTGTACATGATAGTATATCAGCTGGACAAAAAACTTGCTATCCATGTCTTTTCTCAGGTCATTCATCATGATAAAATCAGAACAAGCTGTTGTACTAGAATGAAAATTCATGACCATATATTGTGTTGATCATTAAAATGATACAGGCTCGTCCGATGACCTAGGTTCTGTATGAGAGTAAGAGTACCATTCCAGACATAGCTCAAAAGCGCCACTACATGATGTATCCAGTCTTGCATTTTACACTAATTTCATAAAGATCATTACTGTTCACGCCTTATCAATTTGCTGTTAATAAGATTGAACAGAATATCATACATCTTTTTACTGCTAATCTAGAAATTCTTGACTTTATTAAGTATGTTATTAACAGTGAATGCATCGACATTGCCGTCGGTTTCCATCTCCATTCACAAACAACATCAAAGGCTTTCAAAGCATTCTGCCGTTCTACTTAATACATTTGCAAGTGATACTCATGTATGGAATTCATTTCTTGAGCAACTCTACTTTAGAATAACATCAGAGACAGTCATCTACAAGCTCTCCGTCATAAAATAGTGGAAATTAGAATCGACTACCTATAATATGACTGCGATGCCATAGCAATGAATCAATCAACTTCTCCATTACTGTAATGTAAACCGTTTGGCAATCAAGTTGAAACCCGTCAAACATGCCAATAATCGGCTGATTGGACGTATAGATAGTCAATTACCTTCATCTACGTATTCATCATCATTATTTGCTCTTTTATTTCGAGTGTTATTCATGATTGAACAAGAATTTGACCGGATTAAAGGGTGAATATCTGAGAAGAAGGCATGGAAAAGATGTCTTCTTTTAGTCAGTGAATTCACTGAATGGTAATCGGCCGTCCGGACGGCCATGACGAGATTGTATCTACTACAGTGCATACTTCTCGCTGTACAGTGTACAGTACATTCCATGGATATTGCACTGTGCCGAACTAAGATTTCCCTCTCAAAGCCGTAACTCCAACATAAAAATTTTCCCTTTACTGAAAGGAAATCCGCAAATTACTCCACTAAGATTTTTCTCCTCAAAACTATAACTGAATTTTTCTCCCCTATACTATAAAATAGCGGATATTATTTAGTGCAAGGGAAAATTTTTAGTTCAGGCTTTTAGAAATCCCGAGGATTCTAGAGGCCCACGGTGATGTCATTGCTTAGCGTACCGTACCGTATCGTACCGTACCGTATCGCACCGTACCGTATCGCACCGTACCGTATCGTATCGTACTGTGTAGGGAGTAAATCTGCTGAAACGTGCCAGCATCATGGCCAGACCATACTGTAACCATCGCTCCAGAGTTATTACAAGATTTATACTAGACTCTGACAGACTGTTTTCGTACCAATATCTTGCTCATTCCAGTCGCTTATTTGTCAACACAGCACAGCCTTGAACTGCTGCAGACAGGCCAGGCCAGGCTGCAGCTCCTAGCATTGGCAGCTCCAACTTTGGCACTTTCTATTTTAGCACCTGCAGCTTACGAAGCGGCGATCATTAAATGGAAGCTTAAAATTGCACACAGTAAATGCAGATCTAGTCATCCCAAGTCAATCGTTTACCTCAATTTGCCAAGAAGAAGCTCAAAATTGTTGGGCAAGATTTTGCAAAGTTTCTGGCATACCCGTTTTACCATTACCTTAATGAACTTGCATAGCATCGAGCAAAAAGATAGCTATTTTGGGGACTGTTTATCTATCTGCTGTCAATTAAGTTAAAATTATCATTTAACCTGCAAACTGTCAGCTCTTAATTAATGGAGAATATGTCAACAGTTCATCCAATCATCTGTGCATAATAAATTAGGGATTACAGTACCAGACTACCCATACTAAGTGTAACACTACTGTACAGTAGAAGTGGTGGTTTAACTGTACTTATCTTTGCAAACCTTGATTCTTTCAATATTGTTATCGTGCACAACTAACTATCTATAGAGACAGGCTAAAAATTTCTCCGATGGATTGGCTTAGCAATATCAACTAACCGTTGCATTGACTACCGATAAAATTTGGGATAAAAAATTATATATAATATCTGCAACATTCAAAGCAGAAACCTTAACCGAACCCTAACATTAGCAGAAAGATTTATAATCATATTTTTATCTACTCTTACTGTGCTATATATTAAAATAGAAAAATGTCCAGGTTTCAAGATATTTTAACACCTCATGATGCAGTCTTAGTGGAAAGGGGCGAAATTGGTGACGCTAACGCAGTTCAGCTCCGCAATGCAGTATTTTGGTTTAATTCGAATATTTTTGACAGAAAGAAACCTCAAGATCATGCCAATATTCTAGCAGAAGACTATAAAATAGTCAAGAAAAGATATGGAAAACAGGTCGAGTTTAACTCCTTCAAGAATCGCAAGGGACAATCAGCGGCCAAAAAGCGAGTCCCCGATGGCCATCATGATACTGGAATAGAATACATTGTCGACTATTTTGAGAAATATTTACAAGCTATTCCCAATCATGGTCCATTTTATCGAAAATTATTATCGACCAATAGTCAAGAATCTGAATCTGTTATAAGGTATTCAGATGAAGTTATGACACTAGCAGACCTTGACGAATTAGGGAAATGGAAGCGCCATTGGAATAAATTTGCCCAGGAAGAAGTGGATAGAACAATTGGGTCTGAAATAAGTGATGATGAGATTTTACATCAGTTAGGCATCATTAGCACAGACGATTCGGAGTTGTTATTGAAGGCTGTCTACTGGTTGAATTATAACGATTTAGGATTACTTGAATTCAAAAATCAGCAAGAACTCCGAAAATCACGACTGAAATTAATAACTAAAAAAGGAAAGCAATTTATTCGACTCAAACATGATATTGGTGCGACCGAAGTGCAAGGTTCTGTAAACGACTTAAGAAGCAAAATTTACATCATCTACATGAATGCTGTCAGCGGCTTTGATGATACGAAGTTTTATTTTCGACCGATTATGGATGCAGCCAGTAAGGATAAAACTGAATTTTCCGAATCCAGTTTAAGTACTAGTCATTTGCGAGAGTTGCATAAATGGGCGAAAAGCATAAATGATTTTATGAAAGAAATTCGTAGCAATTCCCTACTTCCAACAGGATGCTGTAAGATTACCCCTGAAATAAAGTCAAAATTGATGGAAGCACTAAGTTCTCTACCAATACAGCACAACCACCTCTCGTGTATTATTAGCAGTAACGATAACGTAAATGCATCCAAGAGGCCATTAAGTGATACACGACCAGCAAAGAAAAAAAAATGAAATAATTGCAAAGTGAAGACGGCAAGATAGAACAAGTCATTGAATCGCCACTGATAACATTTCTGAATGATAGCAAAACTCATTTTCTTTTACACAGCTGTAAAAACTATTCTCGGAAATGATTTAGTTCTATTTCTGATTTAATCTTAGTAACTACTGTAAGCATTGTTAACAAATATACAAATAATTTTTAGTCATTAATTAAGAGAGCATTGAAGTGAAGTATTTTTGCTAGTAGCTCTACACACGCAAAAGTCAGATTTAAAGTTCAACTTCAGTTATATGATTAAGAAATATAAGTACGCATTTTGGACTTAGATCTTAGAAAGGTTAAGTTCAACTGTAGTATAAGATCAAGAAATACAAATATAGTATGTTAGACTGTTATTGATAGCTGGCTATAGTCGTAGTCAGTGCTGTATCGAATGGTATCATGGAATATTCTAAAGTAGTACAGCGAAATTGCTGTGCATAGTGGAGGGCATTCTTGACATATCACATCGTGAGGGGAAAGGAAAGATTGGACTTTTATTCCAATTGACGAAAAAAGTTGAATCATGGTTGATTTGCTTTATTATATCAATTTCGCATTTTTTGATGAATGAGATATTTTCTTGTATATCTTTATGCCTTCTACTACTGTTGCATTATATCGATAAGAAATTGAACATGATCAAGGAAGTTTTGACTATTTTGCAGTATTCTATTCATTTACAATATATGGAATAATTTCACTATTGCTGAACATAATATATGCTATTTTAATGCCAATATTGAAATATTACTGAAATTTTTACGATGAAAACACTATATTCTGTATTTGTAACCTCTAACGATAATCATAGTATTAGAAAAGTTATATAAAGTGTCTTCAAACGAATAAAAACAAGAACTACAGTTTCTTGTAAAGTTTATTTTATTAATAAACTAGATTCGTCTTACAACTACTAAGAACTATCTAGATGCAATCAGACTTAAATTATTATAGTAAAATTCATCTTTTATATATATATCTATACTGTAGAGGGAGAGATAACATACTGTACAATCTAATTTGCAATCACTTATGATCTCGCAAAACTATTCCAATGATTCCAGCGGCAATTTTTAAAAAGCAAAAGGGTCTGGACCTAGTAAATAAGGATAAAGGGCATACTAATCTATGCAATTAGGTTTATTAATCTGAAGCTAATCTAGTGTTGCCCTACGAAAGTATAATATTTGTACGGTAGTCTATACAGTGCTAAGTGAATATAGCATACAGTACGTAAATTGTGGCTTCATTAAAAGAATATTTTTTTCCGTAAAGATTATTCTTTAAATCCCAGGCTGTACTTGTTACAATTTAGCCTTTTTGAACAGGTCGTAAACATTGTCACGAATACTCGTGTCCCCAACTGACTTAGGAGACTTATCGTAGTTGAACTAACTCTCGACTACACTGTTAAGTTGCCAATGGGTAATAGGTTTAAGGACTTTACTTTATTGAGATAAATCCTCGTCGAAAAAATCTACAAAGAAGTACGTTAGAAAACTCTTAGCAATAATAATCAAGTGGATCTAATAATGATTAAATGGAACAGAGTAGCTAATTTAGTGCTCGGCTTTATATAGTGACGGCCTCCACCGATAGTGCATTTGTTAATATCTTTGACATAACGACTTACACTGTATAGTTTAGGAGTTTAGATAGAAGAAATAAACATAAATCAGTATAAGTCAACGCTAATTAACAATAATAAATTTTTGTGCCGATTAGAGCCGCAAGGCCCAGCATGAATTGTACCTTACACTTAGGTGTTAGTATTCAATTACTTAGATATTAACCTTGACAATAAACAAGTACCCATCAACGTTTATTAAACTACTGGAATAAACAACAATTTATATTCGATATTTTAAGTAACACAACAATTATTATTTCGGAGCTTGGCTTCGGAACAGTAGTAAAATAAAAACTACTGTTAGTAATCCCAGCAATGGCCCGACTTAATTTTACTAACGTAAGGTCATTATGAAATGGCCGCACAATAGTACTGTGTATGCAGCCATATGTAGAGGGAGAGATAACATACTGTACAATCTAATTTGCAATCACTTATGATCTCGCAAAACTATTCCAATGATTCCAGCGTCAATTTTTAAAAAGCAAAAGGGTATGGACCTAGTAAATAAGGATAAAGGGCATACTAATCTATGCATTCTTACCTAAATTTATAAAAATTGGGTCTAATAAGCCTGTGAAGCTGCCTTGAAGTACACACAGGTAATTTAGTATCATGTTAAATCTTCTATATTGCACCACTATGAATATATCAGCGCATGGTATATAGCATGCAAACGTGATAAAAAGAGGGAACATGCCATACTAATCACAATAATTCGCATTTCATAAAATTATTTCAATTCATGCTAGCGTATTTTCACAGACGTAAACTCGTATAGCCTGTCAAAGTTCCATATTGAGTAAAGTACTAGATTGTGATTAATTATGCTTTTGAAGCTATTTAGTTTATACCATAACAAATTGAACTATAGTAGTCGTTGTAGTCTGTATAAGTAGATGATGTTGTACACAGGAAGAGAAGAGTGTGTGCAATGTGCATGCAATATACGTTAAATAACAATTGTGTAGACCTCATAAGCCTTCTACTCTGCGTCAGCTTCAACTATGGACATTATGGAATCGTTATGATATCGCTGATCGAAATCATTCATTTAGCCTCAGCATGTTATAAAGAATTATTGCTTACCTACAGTAATTATTTTACTACATTAGTATACAAGTAATTTCCATAAATGTCAAGTCATGACGAAACGACTAGATTTACTGTAATGTTACTTATATGAAAATACAGTTAGATAGACGGAGAGTGAGAAAGAAAAACTAAAATAATTAAAATTATGTGTACGTGACAAAACTATTTCAATGTATGCTAGCATAATTTTATAACTATGAAGTTATTATTATCCATGCATTAGAAAAGCCGTGTCTATCTACTCATATGGATAATATTCACAGTTCTACGGCCAAATACCATACTTAGATAAGCAGTAATATGCTATATAAACTATTTTACTTTGCTCGAGCGCAACTTTGTAAATATAACATTATTATAATATAGCTTGTCATCATGACATTATCCACTGAGAAAAAATTAGATTTCCAGATGCCTTTCGTAACACGATTTCAAATTCTATGCCAGCATCGTTGTAAGAAATTAAAATCATTGGATCACTATAACAATACTATTATATAATATTACGCATAGCATTATAAGTTATAAGTCATATTTATATTTCACGAAACATATAATATAGAAGTCAACCATCGTATACGAGAGGAATTAAAGATTGAGTTAAGGATGGAATTTCATGTCACATGAATTGACACGATACCGTACATTACGATATTTGTCCAGCAAGAAATAATTAAAGTATTACCATTACGGCTCGTTATACAGAGTTGGAAAGCGATAGCTAGTAGGTTCATAACTAATTGTTGATGGAAGAACAGCACAAGCCTTACAGTACTTAAGGTACATTTAGTAGTTTTTTTGGAGATTATTTACAGAGTTCGATAAACGGCAGGAGTAGCTGCAATTCAAAATTACCTTACTAGCATGAGACATACAATTTATTGTCCGGAATTCTACATCGATGCAAGTAAGTAGGAAAGTTAGCTAGTAACATACTGCATAAACTTAATAAATTAGAAAGGAGCATCCATTTAAAATGCCAAATAATGTGTTCAGTAATAGAGTATTATAATTATTTATTTATTTAAACATTTATAGAAAGCTGGATATGCCGTACGTTGGCAAACTCATAATAATCATAATTTAATATTAAAGCTAAACATGGTTGAATTAATTAGCCTTTTCAATTGTATTTACTAAATAAAGTTGTAAAATTACGATCGTCCCCTTAGGATATGTTCCTTAACTAGCCTATTGACATAATTAAAGCTTCTAATAAAGAGAATAATTTGAATTTTTAAATATGGCGAAAAAAATAATATTCTATTCGTTAACTAATATTGTAAATTAAGGCTTTGATAATCGATAGCATTAAGATCGTTCTAATAGTTGTTAAATATACGAATCGCGCAATTTACTTCTGCAAGCACCATTTTTGTGTACTTTCAGTTTTATTTAATATTTCTTAACGTGGGTCTATTTTTTTATCTAAAATTTTTATAGGCACTTGTACGATATTAAACTATAGATTTGATACGTATATGAAAACTTTCGCATATTAAAAATTTAAATTATTCTCTAAATATATCAAAATTTGATAGGCTTGGGCAATCAATATTTGTAGTATAATACGGTACTAATCGGTGAATTAAGGATTATAAGCAAAGAGCCCTTAGCAATTATGAACGGACGAGATTGTAGTAAAGAATAATTTCATAATGATGATAGATACAGAGTAAGTGAAATAAAGCATAATCTTAAAAACCTGATTTTAAAAAATAAAACTATGAAATGGTTGATAGGTAGCAGAATGCTAAGCAACGATAACGTTTTAAAATTAGAACCAATTAGATGCAGACGAAGGGATAGTCGCTATTTTCATTTACACAGATCATTGTATAACTCGCTTATGTACCAGCACAAAAAATTTTTTAATATTATCTAAATTATGGAACAATGTAGATTTTAAATCTATAATCCATCAAGAATAACGCAATTGAAATAAAATAATGTTTTATTTCAAATGAATTGCTAATAAAGTGGAAGCTATCTCGTTTCTTGTCTTTGCAAATATATTTTTTCGATACTCTACTATTGCTGCTAGACAACAATACCGCATTCAAAATATCTGCTATTGCTAATACGTTTAGTGATGCGGAGTCAAGCATTAAACTATTAAAGACATCAATAATTTACAGGAATGGGTGTTCTGTGATAGTATGTATTAATATAACGTAGATATAAAATAGTTGCGATATTATCTCAATTATTAATTTAATTTTTCAAAGTAGTCTCATACAATACAACAATGTCTGTTTTATCAATCGAAAGATTAAGAATTCACAATATCTATTAATATGCGCCTCCATCAAATGAGAAATGTTCAAGTAACGCTACATAAATTGTTTTTTGCAGCTAAATAATATAATATACCATAGGCAGATATGTTTTTTGGTAGCAATAATGCCATCTTTATCGATCGAAAAATTAGTAATTAATTATGCAGCTAACCATCATAATAAATCATTAGCAGATATAGTTTTTGATGGCAATGCAAAAATGGCTAGTTACATCAAGTTTAAAGTTAGTTTCAATTTATGATTTAAGCTATCTCTTCACAATGAGATGGAATGCTATACTACTTGATAAACTTACAATTTCACTTTAACTAAATGAAGAAAAAGCTATTTGTTAAGTTGCTGCATTAATTTAAAGTCGATCGATTGATTAATAAACTTAATCCAAATAAGAATAACTAATTTCATGGCTGAAAGTAGGTCTCAATTTCAATATATTACCTTGTGGTTGTCTTAATCATGACAATAAGTAGTCATTCTCCAGCTGGATTTTCCGTATAAAGCTTACTTTAGCCAGAGGCAATCGGCACACTAAAGTATTATTTGAAGAAGTAGCTTTTCCTCAAAGAAACCAGTATAAGACTAGGAAAAGTCAATATACTTAAAATGATATCTTTAACTAGGAAAAAATTATAATAATGTATTATGCATTTCGGATTCAATATGGATCAAGATAGCCGTAGACTGAAAGATAAATAGAGAATTATTGTTTAGCGCTCAATTTTGTATAGATGTCACTATCTAGCTTGGCTGCATAAAAACTTGTTACGAAAGGAAACTGTTTCCACTAAATTAAGTTCACGTGCTTAAAAACTATCACATTGCATAGCTTGTAACAGCTGAAAATGAACAGAATAGTTTATTATTCCTATTCCGACAAGGATTGATCAGTAAAACATGAAACGATAGCTTCAGTATGTAATTTGCATCAATAATATTCAATTAAAGTAATTTTTTAGTAGTTCTTAATATTTAATTTATATGTAAAAATTTGTTCTATTATTTAAAATTACGTTTATTGATAGCAATAATAAGTGCATAAAGTATTGATTGAAAATAGGAAAATATAGATCTCAATGAATTTTTTATTTAGATGGCAAATATCCAACTTTATCCTAAAAAATTCATACAAATCATTCCATTGAAGATATATTTTGCTATGTTCGTCGTATTTTCTTTTTGTTGTTGAAAACTACGATAGTTTGCAATTAAAGTGTTAAAGTTATGATCATTAAAGGAAAGAAATTATCTCCATTAGCAATATCGTTATTCTTAATTTGGATCGCTTCACCAATAATTGAGGGAAAGAAATGGAAAACCTTAACCATTGCCGGTTTTCAGCCGCTTTCAGGGGGTACAGTATCTTTCATTGGAAAAATCACCTTACCAGCCGGGCAGTTAGCTATTAAGGATATTAACGCAAGACCAGATATTTTACCTGACTACAATCTAACAATGGAGTTCTGGAATACGGAGGTAGAGTAAAAATAATGTTGTCGAAAATTCTGATGATTTCCATGAAATTCATACGATATACTCTAGATTATAAGAATTACTATCCATATCTTATGGTAATTCTAGGTAGATTTATCAAAAGATAACTATTCACACATTAGATATCTATTCACACATTAGACTAAAAATTAAAATATCCTAGTGTAATAGTTTGCTTAGAATAAATTATGTTTGTTAGTGGGCCGTATCTGATGATGAAACAGTTACGTACGGTATTCACTCTGTCGGTCTAAGACCCTAAGATCATTAAACTACGAACCTAACGTAGTAGTAGTGAGGCTATTACATCTAGTTTATCCTGTATTTTGAGGATTGGTTATAAAAATAATGTAAACGCTTATTCTATAAGCTGCAATTTGCCTCTTTGGTTAGAAATTATCCCGAAAATAGATAGAGTAAAATAATGAAAGGAAGCTGGGATTAATGACGAATTGTAAATTCACACGTGTGATATATACCGATCACGAAATTTCAAATTTTAGAAAAATAAGGGCTTTATTGAATCTTATACAACGATTAACTACACATAGCTCTACTGTAGCCGAATACTACTACTAAAGACTTCTAGAACGAACTAACAGAATAGTCTAAAGTTGCATGCTTTTATACCTTTCGTAGCGTTCGCAGCTATAATCTGCACGGCAACCTTTTACCTTATTTTATACACAGCTAAATTATTCTTAGTAACACTATTCTACTGCGGACCATCATTAATCCGATATGGATACGACTACAGTATTTACATAGACATTATTCACACTAGCCAAAGTACAATGAATTAACCATATCCTAATATATGATTTACAGTTCTATTTTTACCTATAACCTTATTAGTAACTCAACAACTTACTGTATATAGTCATCTGTACTCTAGCATAGAGTCTATACCACTACAGTCTATAATTATGGCTATCAAATATATCTTAGGATAAATATAGAAGTTACGCTATCGTACATTATACTAAACATTGTATACGCGTAAACATTAGATGACTATAAAAATCGAAATGATGTGAGATTACGATAGAAATAATGACCCGTATCAAATATGTCGTTACTTGATAAGTTATAATTCCTATCGGACTAATGTTATATTACTCTATACAAAATCTCTAATGGTATAACGCCTATATTCTATAAACTAATTTGTATTATTTCTTGCTTCTAGTATAAACCTTGGGTTGCAACTAAAAGTTTCATAGATGCTATCAATAATCCGCCCATTAAAATTGCTACTTTTGGACCACTGACTACGGTTGGCTCTAGACCGGTAGCTTCATTGACTAAATATTGGAATCTAGTCACGGTAAAGATAATAATATACTTAGACTGTATTAAGTGTAGAATCATGATAATCGTTATTAAGACTGTCTAGAATTGCTCCAAATTATCTTATTACATTATTGCTGTTTATTCTTCTCTCCATCTACAAACATTAAATGTACGAAATAAAAAATACATAAGAGTCTTGTAATTCTTATCTAGTCTAAATAAGATATTAAAGATAGAGATATTCTACCCTAATATGCATATGTCATGAAAGAAAACAGATAATAATCAATTTTAGAGAAAATTAACGAAATAAACGCAAGTCATTTACTGTAAAACCTATTAATTCATGTTAGGTAACCAGTGGAGTGAGCTCTGCTGCTCTAATTAACAGAGATATCTATCCTTATTTCTTTACGACTGAAACAACCGACGTAACTCTTAATCCTATTCGAATAGCCATGTTGCGACGATTTAATTGGACTCGGATTGCTACGATCCACCATATCTCAGAGCTACAAGAAATAGTAAGTAATAAACTAAATGTATATGACTGAAAGATTCCAAGTTTATAATAATGTAGAGTTTATTATTGATTATCTACACAGTGTTGCGATTCTAGATACAATTCTAGATACAATTCTAGAACAATTCAATCAATTCTAAATTCAAAAGTTAAAGTTTACATTATTTGTATTACTTTATAGAGTAGTATACCTAGGTTACCTACCCTAAATAGATACTCGCATCTATACAGTAGTCTAGAGTAGCTGTTTGCTAAAATTCTAAATAAGACAAAATAATCGTAAAAATAACATATGCATGAATTCTAGCCTGCTTAGAGATTACAATTTATATTATTTGTATTACTTTGTGGCGTAGCGTAACTAGGTCCCTTATCTTAAATAGATACTTGCATCTATTTATAAGTCTAGAGTACCTGCTAGATAAAATTCTAAATAAGACATAGAATGGTGAAAATAACTGATAGCAACCCTTAAACATTCAGTTAATCAATTGCCAAGTTAAAGTATGTGCTAATATTGGCCAATAAATATTGACTTTGTATTTTTCAGCTTTTCTTTAACTTCGCTGAATAAAAGTTTTATTACTATTTTATCTCTTGATATGATAAGTCTACTCCTACACTCGTATGATATATACCGATCACGAAATTCCAAATTTTAGAAAAATAAGGGCTTTATTGAATCTTATACAAAGATCAACTACACACAGCTCAACTTTAGCCGAATACTACCACTAAAGACTTCTAGAAAGAACTAACAGAATAATCTAAAGTTGCATGCTTTTATACTTTTCGTAGCATTCGCAGCTACAATCCGCACGGCAACCTTTTACCTTTTTTTACACATAGTTAAATTATTCTTAGTAACGCTATTCTGCTGCGGACCATCATTAATCCGATATGGATACGACTACAGTATTTACGTAGACATTTGTAAGACAGTGTAATATTGTATTCTAAGTTGATGATACATTTAGTAATGTCTGCCGTAGGTGTTGTGTTCAACATGTGATAGATATTCTCGTTAGAGGCTTAAGTATTAAATATAGCTAGCTTAGTAACTGTAATCCTTTTGAATAGGAGCGCTACATTGCTCACACTAGAGCTTCACGTGAAAGGTGTAAACTATCCTGTATTTGAGATGCTAATACTGAAGTGTGTAGTAAGTAAAGGTGCTAAGACTGTAAACGCGGAAAAGTATATAAGCGAGTAGTTTTGTATAGTAAGAGAGTTCTTTCTCGTTAGAGGTCCTCTGCTAATCGATTACGTTGAGCCTTCTTAAACGATGTTTTGTTCAATAAATCTAAATTTTCTAAAGTTTTGAAGATTCTTAATCTATCAACCTCACAACATTATTCACATCAGCCAAAGTACAATGAATTAACCATATCCTAATATATGATTTACAGTTCTATTTTTACCTATAACCTTATTAGTAACTTAACACCTTACTGTATATATCCATCTGTACTCTAGCATAGAGTATACCACTACAGTCTATAGTTATGGCTATCAAATATATCTTAGGATAAATATAGAAGTTACGCTATCGTACATTATACTAAACATGGCTAACAGTCTACAATCACAATACTAGGTTATATTACAATTCGATACATATGATATTTTATCGCATTGTAAACTAAGTCATAAAATTGAAGTCAAGCAATAGCACAATACTCGCCAGCTATAACACACTTGTTATATAAACTATCAAGCTGAATTCCGCCGGATGATTTTACATTTTGATTCTATCGAAATAGAACAGATCTAATCATTTGTAAGACGTCTAATGCTGTAAAATCATTGAAAATTTGAAACTGTAGGCCGCTAAAAATTTCATCAGAGATGCAGACAAACTAAATTTCACTTTGATCACTACAGAAGCTTTTTTTACTTCTCCAGTAGAACAACTCAAAAGCATTAAGGTAATAAGTTGAAGTTATTTATTATAATTAGCACAAATAATCAGCTTCATAGTATTCATTTAAGTTTCTATAGTTAAGGTAGTAAATTATGTTATCATTGAGATGTTACTCTAGGAAAAAGATCGAATAATGGTTATTGTCCACGTTATAGTATCATTTTATCTAACAAAACATTGAATTTTAGAATTACTTCAATAATTATAATTTTTAAATTCTAAGTACGAAGCAAGACTATGTGTTTATCCCAGTCTTCTGTACTTAATTATATTGACTAATTTTAAGCGTAGTTTTCAATGCTTACTCATAAGAATCAAATTTTAATTGATATCTTTTCTATAGGAGAAAGGTGCTAAGATTATTTTGTTATTTGCCGATCTGATTCCTACCATCAGATTGTTTTGCGAAGTAATACCGAATTGAACCATTTTAATGTTGTAAATTTTTAATAGTTTTAATATGAATAATTAAAGGCTACTTAATAAGAAGACGTAAAGTTGACTTATTTTACATCATTGTCACCAATTAGTCACTGCAACGACTATTAATTACATTTATAGAAATTTAATCTTACGTGTATAAAGCCGATTTCCGTATTTTGTAATTAATCTTTGTTAGGTTTATCATCAAAAAATGTATGGGTCGCATTACGTTTGGTTTATAACCTTTGGATATATCAAGAATTGGTGGAGAGCATTTCGTACAGATGCTAATGTTAACTGCACGTCAGAGCAATTGGAATTAGCAATGTCATCCTATTTTACCTTTAATAATGTCGAGCTTGGTTCTGATGAAACGACAGTCTCAGGGATGGTAAGCGTTGTCTCTGACTATCAGATATTGATACATAGCTATCGTATATCATTTTACTAATATAAACTTTCTATACTAGTAAAGTTATTTCTGTTTTCGTAAGATGATCTATCTTGTCTGTAAAAATGAGATTGTTTTAGCTTTAGCTCGGCTATCATGAATTACTGCAGATATATTATAGAAAATACACAATAATGAATTTTATTAAGATCTTTGATTACAATTTTATTCTTCGTGATAGAGTTGATAGTAGATTGTGAAGTTTCTATCTCCTTATTTATGAATTATAAATGACATTTTGTTTATAGTTCCTGTGTTTGAAATAAATTAATAGATATTTATATATGAAAGAAGGGTAAATAAACGAATAACATACTAACATTAAATATATCGTATGTTACTTGTATTCTAACTAGAACTCATCGCAATATATTGAACATTATAATAATTTCGTGGTAAATCCTCTTAACTCGCCTTTCAAGTATTTCCAAACTAATGGCTATGACGCAATGTGGGCGCTAGCACTAGCACTAAATAGAACTGAAAATATACTGAAAAAAAATGGAAGCTCCTTATCTGATTTTAATTATAGTAATACCATGATAAGAAGTATTTTATTTGATGAGATGAGTAAGACTGACTTTATTGGTATTAGTGTAAGTCTCTAATATAATAAATTGAACTATCCGTTACCAATTTAATGTCGATATATATATATATATGTATATATATTTCTGTTAATTTATTGCTAATGTCACTTTACGGCTTTTAGGGGCCAGTTAGATTTAAATCCGGATCTCGTATAAGTGATGTCTATATCTATCAAAATCAGAGTAAGCACAGAGTACATTAAGGAGAGAGATTGATTAATCTTTCTATGTTATGTTTGATGGAAGAAATTTGCGATTCTATACTTGAATAAGTTACTGTCTTTTGATGAGACGTATTAGCATCACATTTAGTAATACAAGTCTTTTTCTTGATTTGAAAATAATCCTTATGTAATAGTTGCGTTCACTCCACTGTTACTACTACGTATAGTCAGAAAGACCCTGTTTAATTATTCGGAATAAAAACTGAAATGCAAATATCTTTACGATTTATTCATACAGTACCTTGATAACTTAATCTTTACTAAAAATTCTTTCTAAATTGGCTGATTTACTAATATGTTAAGCTTTAACTAAATGATATACGAATTCAGTTAATATGCGTAAATAGGCTTTAAGCAATGTTTAATTATTCAATATTGGCTACACTAATAGTTATTGGAAACGAATCGAACGTTATTCCTATTGGTCTACATTATGGTATAACAAATGAACTACAGATTTATGAGAATAAAATCTATTGGATAGGTATGTCCTGCACAGTCTTACTTTTTTAGTTTGGACGATAAATACTAAATGCTAATATGTTAGATTAAGAAAGTCAACATTACCTTTGAGGACTACCCATTACACTAACAATCAGTAATGTTAGTTTACGAGATTTATCCTTAAGAAATATCATTTTCTCGTTATGGAGACAGTTAGATAGTTTAATAATCGCCGTATTTTTCATATTTCTGCAATTAGCACTTCTTACCTCCAGATTACAGATTTCCGTGATTTGTATGTACTTAATAATAATTCATTATTAATGATAATTCTAGGTGGAGCTGTACCCGCTGATACGGTTTCAGTTGAAGTCAGAATTATTGGTGTTTCCCAGCATGTCTTTATCACTGTAAATGTACTGGCAATCGCGGCAATAATTTTGGCAATTGTTTTCCTTTCGCTTAATATAATGAAAAGAAAGCGAAAGTAAGAATAGCTTTACCTAACACTTTGTTAATAACATATTTAAGCTCGAAGGTTTTAGTAAGAAAATATCACTAAATTCTATAAGCACATTCGATATCCTGTTTTGATACTAGCTATTAGTTTAGCGTTATATTTACAGAATTTGAATTGTGATTCATGTAGTAAATAATATTCATCGTAACTGTTCAGCTCTACTACATACAGTTACAATCATCTTGTTTAGAAACACAGATTTAAATAACATACAATTAGCGTCTAGGAAATTTATCAAAAAAGAATATTAACAAAAATATCCTTTCTCATCGATTATTACTGATAGACATATTAAAATGTCAAGTCCGAATATCAATAATTTGTTTCTTATCGGCTGTATCATGGGCTATATCGCAGCAATTACATTTGGCATCGACTCCAATAACACACCTAGTGTAACGTCAGCGCTTATATGCCCATTACGTGTATGGATTCTAAGTATCGGATTTTCAATCGCTTTTGGATCACTGCTATCTAAAACTTGGCGTGTATATCGCATATTTACTAGCGGCAAGAAAACAAAGATCGTATGTATACAAATTGTTATACATTCAGCTATGTTTATAATCTCTTTACTATATTTAAAGTTCACTGATATTTAAGTTTATGGATTCAACATATAAGCTCGTGAGATTTCAGCTGATAAGCTGTATACTATGTTTGAAGATTGCTTCGATTACTTTAATTGTAAAATATTGTTTTATCGAGTACGTACGGAGTGTACTAAATTTATATCAATTTTCATATTTATTACATTATCTTGATGGTTTTAGGTGATTAAAGATCATCAACTTATTGCTATGGTAGTAATTCTTATATGCATAGATTTGTGCTACTTAACAATTTGGCAATTAGCTGATCCGTTAAAAGGCAAGCAGATCCTTGTAAGGATCGAGGTAAATGCTAATGTAAAGTAATAGAGTCTCATTAGTTTGTCAAATAAGCATCTTATAAATAATAATAACTAAGCCTAAGTAATGCTATTTAATTACAGAAGATAATCTCATACTTTATAGTAGATAGTGAAAGCTTACAACACCAGGTATTAATAGAGGACCGTAGATTCGGACATTGGCCGTGACCTAGATATAGATAAAGTCTTCACTTTTAAGGTGACGAGAGTTTAAAACATATTATATGACTTGCATTACTTATTTTACTAAGCATCGTAGAATCACAATGTCATATATAGTCGAAATGACAGATTATCTGCTAACTAGCTTACCGTGCATATGAATAATTCCGATAGTCTGAAAATAAGAAATCTACAGTTTTAAATTAGATAGCACAGTTCTATGTAATCTGTATGACTATACATCCAACTATAAAATATTTCATAGGCTGCTCGGTAACGTCGACTAATAGTTCTATCTATGCCAGCCACAAAACTTCTTGATTTGTTTATTTGCCCATTTCAATTATATAGATAGCTGGTAGTGATATGGATGTGTTTCGGTATATAATCTTAGTTCATTAGCTCTGGTTTGAATATCGTATTACATAAAAGTTTATTGCTATCTAATTATGAGCTTGTGCGCTAACGAATTCTTTGTTACTTACCATTTGCGATTATTTATGGCTATTACAGGACTCAAGCCAAGACTTAAATACTGTTATACGCTACTATAATGTTTTATGCAGCTCCCAAAATTCTTCCATTTGGTTAGGCATTATATATGGTATGAAATTACTGTTATTAGTTTTTGGAACTTTTCTGGCCTGGGAAACTCGATATGTTACTATTCCCGCCCTAAATGACTCTCGTTATATTGGAATGTCTATCTACAACACAACACTTCTCTGCGTTATTGCAATCATTATTAGTCAGTTTCTTGGAAGCCAAGTGGATGCAAATTTTGCAGTTATTGCAGGATTTATCATCTTTGGAATCACAGTAACAATGTGCCTTGTCTTTGTGCCTAAGGTAAGCGATAAAGCTGAACATTATAGGCTATTGACTAGAAGAAACTAACAGTAGAATTTATTAATATTTTTAATGTTTAATTTATGAACTGAGGTAATACATTTAAAAAGAAACGGCTTTGCTGTTATGCAAAGTAATAATAATACTGGCAGAGCGAACTCTAGAGTAGACTCTATGGATATAACTTTTGGTAAAGGTAGAAATATCACATGTGAAGACAAAGTTGTCGAGGAATTTATTCGACGAATAAAAAATGTGAGTTTAATTAGCTCTGTGGACCGTTCAGTATGCTGGAATAGTCTAAATTTAATAGTTTAATACATTTAGATAATGGCGTTCTTTCGTACTAGTAAATGTGTATAAGAATAATTACTAGTGCTTAAATACACAATTATGTAAACAGTAGCAGCACTTGTCGATTACTTAATAATACAAAGTTGAGAAAGACGTGTATAATGTGTAATTTATTCGTACTGCCAAATGTTGCACCGTGACTTTCATAATTTTTTCTATTTTATCTAAATTATAATACTTGTATATCAAAGAGTAGCGCTAAAAATCTTGTACTAGCTAATAATTAATCGATCGATCTTCTACCAGTGAACGATTAATTGATTAATTTTCTACATCATTTTGCATAGAATCGGGTAGTTATCGATCATTTGTACCACGAGTGGTGGTAGAATTTTATTCTATCTTTTATTATTTCACAATAATTGTTTTGAAATTTTAATATAGTGCGATGAAGCAAACGGCATTGTGACAAAAATCAGGCGTAGATGGGAAGCTACTAATTCACCACTAACACTTGGAACCGATATTTTGAATTAGTTCTCAATATGTGATTAAGAAATAAATTATACAAGCTATACACTCTGATCTAAATTTCTTCTTGAAGTCTTTATTAATTGTAGAATCTTACCTGTTTACTAAATACTGATTAATAGCGCTTAATCTTCACATTGAGATCAGTAGTAACGTAATACGGATAAAAATCGATTATTATTTGATTTGTAAATGACCGATGACTTACTTGTCATGAAGACTATTACTTACAGTTATATCTTGATAGATAACATTCTACTTCGTATAATTTGTCGTATTGTCATCATCTAATGACAACATCGTTTGATTCTTAAGTCATTCATTATGATTTCTTCTTGTTTTAATACGAATAATTTTAATATATCAGATTTGTCTGTAACGTTTTATTCGATTATAATAAAGAAAACAAATTTCGCCTCAAAAAATACTTTTAATATGTATTTAGGATGTTTCTTGATATCAATTAAACGACTGAAATAAATTTTTCACATTACTTGACGTTAATTTAGGTATGATGCTAAAATATAAGTTTTTTATAAAATGACTAGTTATCAATCCTGCAGGAATTCCTTAATCATAGTATTAAGTTACTGTTACTGTTTTACTTCGTTGAGAGTAAGTATCTAATTTATGGCTATGAAATCAGAATAGTACATTTTACGAGTAAAATAACGGGCACTGCTATACTTTAGTTAGAGTAAGTATCGCAATTTATGGCTGTGAGATTAAGATAGGAAATTTTACGAGTAAAATAGATTAGTACGAGTATACAAAAGTGTACACTTTCTATTATGTGTGATGGAGGGTTCGATATCTCAGAGGATTGAGATTTAGTCGCCATTTACAATTATTACACCAAAGGGTTTATAAAAGTTATGCTTTATTGTAGGTTAGTAATGTGAAGTACAGTGAGATAGTTACGGTAGATCAGCGTGCAAGCTGTCGTGAGTAACGAGTAGAAGTATTAGACTGTGAGAGACTAACTAGAAGACTAACTGAGAGGCTAACGAACTCTGAGGTAGAAATCGCCGGTATTTATAGTTTTAAAGATAGAGCACATGCAGACAATAGGATTGTGGAATTAGATACAACATATACCATAACAGGTTACAAAATAGCAGATGATTGTAGAAAACAGCGAGTACCGTAATAACTAAATACAGTAGTTTATATATGAATGTAGAGTAAGCGGACTGTAGATCTGTCTAAATATAAGAGCAATACAACATGTCTATATTTAAGAGTAGAATATAGTTACAGTATATTCTAAATACACTACATTATGGCTGTGTTATTTCTTTGTATAAAATATTGAACTACGGTTCCAATTACGAATATCTAGATGGTTCACGTTCAGTTTCTCGATATTTTACACAAGTAACAAATTTTTAGTCACATACCAGTATCAATAAAATATTTCATTAGTACATTTCTCATTATTAAAGTCCGCAAGGTACAATGTTCATTAGAATACTTGATGATCAATGAGAGTTACATTTGCGATCTTTTTCTCCCTTAGTTTTCTTAACAGTTTCCTTATCTTATCACAATGAGATGGAATGTTGTATCGCTAGACAAGCTTTCAATTTCGCTCAAACGAAATAAAAGAAAAAGCTTTTTTGTTAAGTTGATGCGTTAATTTAAAATCGATTGATCAATAACTCAATCCAAATAAGAATAAATATTTTTATATTTATAGCTAAAAGCAGATCGCGATTTCAATGTATTTCCTTGCAGTCGTCTTAATCTTGATAATGTTATTATTTATGCTGACGACAACAATCACGTCATAATTTCAATTTGACATTTTATATTATAAGTAGCTATTCTTTAGCTGGATTTTCCGTATAAAGTTTATTTAGCCAGAGGCAATTGGTTCGCTAAAGTATTATTTGAAAAATGACTTTTCCTTTAAAGAAACCAGTATAATACTAAGAAAGGTCAATATACTCAAAATGATATCTTGACCTGAAAAAAATTAGAATATTGTACTATGCATTTAGGATTCAATATGGATCAAGATAGCCTTAGGCTGAGAGATGAATAGGGAATTATTGTTTAGCGCTCAACTCTTCTTAGATGTTGCTATTTAGCTTGGCTTCATAAAAACTTGTTACGAAAGAAAACTGTTTCCACTAAATTAAGTTCACGTGTTTAAAAACTGCTACATCATAGCTTATAGCAGCTAAAAATGAACAGAAACAGTTTATTATTCCTATTTTGACAAGGATTGATCAGTAAACATTATTAATAGCTTCGGTATATAGTTTGCATCTATAACCTTCAATTAAAGAAATTTTTTAGTACTTCCTAATATTTAATTTATAAGTAAAAATTTGTTCTATTATTTAAAATTACGTTTATTGATAGCAATAATAAGTGCATAAATTATTAACTCAAAACAATAAAATATTGATCTCAATGAATTCTTTGTTTTTAGATGACAAATGTCCAACTTTACCCTAAAAAATTCATACAAATCATTCCATTGAAGATATATTTTGCTATGTTCGTCGTATTTTCTTTTTGTTGTTGAAAACTACGATAGTTTGCAATTAAAGTGTTAAAGTTATGATCATTAAAGGAAAGAAATTATCTCCATTAGCAATATCGCTATTCTTAATTTGGATCGCTTCACCAATAATTGAGGGCAAGAAATGGAAAACCTTAACCATTGCCGGTTTTCAGCCGCTTTCTGGGAGTACAGTATCTTACATTGGAAAAATCACTTTACCAGCCGGGCAGTTAGCTATTAAGGATATTAACGCAAGACCAGATATTTTACCTGACTACAATCTAACAATGGAGTTCTGGAATACGGAGGTAGAGTAAAAATAATGTTGTCGAAAATTCTGATGATTTCCTTGAAATTCATACGATATACTCTAGATTGTAAGAATTGCTATCCATATCTTATGGTAATTCTAGGTAGATTTATCAAAAGATATCTATTCACACATTAGACTTAAAATTAAAATATCCTAGTACAATAGTTTGCTTAGAATAAAGTATGTTTGTTTGTGGGCCGTGTCTGATGATGAAATAGTGAAGTACGGTATTCACTCTGTCGGTCTAAGACCCTAAGATTATTAAACTACGAACCTAACGTAGTAGTAGTGAGGCTATTACACCTAGTTTATCCTGTATTTTGAGGATTGGTTATAAAAATAATGTAAACGCTTATTCTATAAGCTGTAATTTACCTCTTTGGTTAGAAATTACCCCAGAAATAGAGCAAAATAGTGAAAGGAAGGTTGGATTAATGATAAATTGTAATATCACATGGTATAACGATTACTATATATAATACCATGGAAGTAAATTGTTAATAACTAACTACCAGTAGCGATAAATAGTAACTAATGAAAATATAATAACTGGGTGTGTACTTATAACTTTTCTTGCATAAAATTTCTAAGTATTACTTGTATACGCGTAAACATTAGATGACTATAAAAATCGAAATGATGTGAGATTACGATAGAAATAATGATCCGTATCAAATATGTCGTTACTTGATAAGTTATAATTCCTATCGGACTAATGTTATATTACTCTATATAAAATCTCTAATGGTATAACGCCTATATTCTATAAACTAATTTGTATTACTTCTTGCTTCTAGTATAAATCTTGGGTTGCAACTAAAAGTTTCATAGATGCTATCAATAATCCGCCCATTAAAATTGCTACTTTTGGACCACTGACTACGGTTGGCTCTAGACCGGTAGCTTCATTGACTAAATATTGGAATCTAGTCACGGTAAAGATAATAATATACTTAGACTGTATTAAGTGTAGAATCATGATAATCGTTATTAAGACTGTCTAGAATTGCTCCAAATTATCTTATCACATTATTGCTGTTTATTCTTCTCTCCATCTACAAACATTAAATGTACGATATAAAAAATACATAAGAGTCTTGTAATTCTTATCTAGTCTAAATAAGATATTAAAGATAGAGATATTCTACCCTAATATGCATATGTCATGAAAGAAAACAGATAATAATCAATTTTAGAGAAAATTAACGAAATAAACGCAAGTCATTTACTGTAAAACCTATTAATTCATGCTAGGTAACCAGTGGAGTGAGCTCTGCTGCTCTAATTAACAGAGATATCTATCCTTATTTCTTTACGACTGAAACAACCGACGTAACTCTTAATCCTATTCGAATAGCCATGCTGCGACGATTTAATTGGACTCGGATTGCTACGATCCACCATATCTCAGAGCTACAAGAAATAGTAAGTAATAAACTAAATGTATATGACTGAAAGATTCCAAGTTTATAATAATGTAGAGTTTATTATTGATTATCTACACAGTGTTGCGATTCTAGATACAATTCTAGATACAATTCTAGACTATTCAAAAGTTAAAGTTTACTTTATTTGTATTACTTTATAGAGTAGTATACCTAGGTTACCTACCCTAAATAGATACTCGCATCTATACAGTAGTCTAGAGTAGCTGTTTGCTAAAACTCTAAATAAGACAAAATAATCATAAAAATAACATATGCACTGTAATTCTAGCCTGCTTAGAGATTACAATTTATATTATTTGTATTACTTTGTGGCGTAGCATAACTAGGTCCCTTATCTTAAATAGCTACTTGCATCTATTTATAAGTCTAGAGTACCTGCTAGATAAAATTCTAAATAAGACATAGAATGGTGAAAACAACTGATAGCAACCCTTAAACATTCAGTTAATCAATTGCCAAGTTAAAGTATGTGCTAATATTGGCCAATAAATATTGACTTTGTATTTTTCAGCTTTTCTTTAACTTCGCTGAATAAAAGTTTTATTACTATTTTATCTCTTGATATGATAAGTCTACTCCTACACTCGTATGATATATACCGATCACAAAATTCCAAATTTTAGAAAAATAAGGGCTTTATTGAATCTTATACAAAGATCAACTACACACAGCTCAACTCTAGCCGAATACTACCACTAAAGACTTCTAGAAAGAATTAACAGAATAGTCTAAAGTTGCATGCTTTTATACTTTTCGTAGCATTCGCAGCTACAATCCGCACGGCAACCTTTTACCTTTTTTTAC